ATACATGAATGTACAGCCTAGATGATGACTCCGTCGAAAAGAAAACTTCCTTAAATGCGACCGTCTTTTTAATAATTTCTGTGATCCAATGTGCATACTCCGCTATTTGAACAGTGTTTGGAAAAAAATCAAAATTATCACGAAATCCAAACATAATTCATTGAAGTAGTAAACTTATTTACTCTTAAATTCGAACTTTTAAAGCTTGCAGTGAATTTATGACTAGAAATCAGAAACCGATTCGTTTTCATGTTAGAACTTCAATAAAAGACAATACGCAAACTTATAAGAGGGACTAATTGTTTTAAAAGACACTCTGACCAAAATCTGATATTATTCTTAGTTTTCAAGGTGCTACATAGCACAATGTCTTTGAGATGAAGACAAAGAATCCAAAAATAAAAAGGTAGAATTGTCGACCTAGTGGAAAATTATCATAATTCTGCCTTCCTAGTTAGATTTCACAAGGCAAAGTCACTTTCCATGTCAACTTATTCATCTACCATTCCTTCAATGAAGATGAAGACATTCTATCTATCAATGCAAATGGAAGGATTTTGTACTTATATTGCTTGAAACAGGTAAAGTAGTTGCGAATCCGTATGTGTTGGAAATTTACGGAAGCTTTCAAAAAAGCATATATTCTTTTTGTTTTCCGAGATCCGCTCCATCATTGCTTTGTACAATAACTTATCTGATTCCGTATTCGTTGGGTGGAAAACATCTTCAGGTTGTTGTAGTTTGTAAACCTTCTGAAAGGTACAGTATGGTTTGAATAAACATTCCAAGTCTACATTACAAGAAACTCCACAGAATTGAATTCATTCACCGGATATATAATTCCCCTCGGTACAGACTGATTAACTATACAATGATAATCGACTATAATCAATTTAAAAAACACTGGATTTGCAACCAATCTTAAGTGTTTGATTTGGATAATAAAGTTTTTTTTCCTTCACATTCCCCAGTGGAACATAGGACTTCAAGCTAGTGGCTTGAAGTTTCTGTAGCAGTGGTGTTTATTTTACAGGATAGGGTTGCTAGCCTCATGCCAAACCTTTCTTCTTTACCAGCATTATTTCTTGCTTAGCAAGGTAAAGGAGTGGGTCGGCTGGGGATCGAACCCCGAACCATGTGCATGGTCGGCGAGTGTCCTAACCGCTATACCACTGACGCACGGATAATAAAGTAATTCTGCCAAATGTTTACTTAGACTTTCAATATTTTTAAACAAAAGAAAGTCTACTTAATAAAAATGACTAAATCTCATTGACAAAAAACGGAAGCACATGGGTTTTCGATTTCCTAAACACAACCTTTTTACCGCATTAATTTCATGTAACAACAGTTAGTATTACAACTGTTCCCTTTACATTCACTCAATTCTTTAAATACAAAGGCAGAAGTGTTATTTTGCTGTCGACAATTTATTACACTTACACTGACGAAAACATTTACAGAATTAAAGGTTATTGTTGTTTACGTGGTTTATTAATACAGTGGGTATTTCTTTTTCAAAAAAAATAAATAAATAAAACATCCACTCAGTGGATTTATTTATTTAATTTTGAAGTGAACCACATGAGCGTTTTAAATAAATAAGTTCATGGTGTCATTTGATGTAACCTCCTTGTTCACAATGATTCTAATCAACGAAACTATTCAGATCATTTTTCAGCAGTCTAATCTTCTCCCACTCCCAGAGTCGGAATCAAAACGCCTACTGCTTATGTGTACCATGTGCAGTTCCAATTTGATAACACTCTTTACCGCCAAATAGATAGTGTAGCTATGGGCACTCCAATTAGCCCTGTTTTAGCAGATATATTCATGTCCAATCTTGAAAGAACAAAGTTGAAGCGTGCAATTGACGAAACAACTTCCTACTGTCGATATCTTGATGACACATTTATAGTGTGCAAAAATGAAAGTCATGCTTCACACTTCACCTTCAGATTATTCAATGATGCACACACCAATATTGAGTTTACTATGGAACATGAAAGTGACGGAAAGTTTCACTTCCTCGACATTGCCATGGAACGCCTAGAAGACGATAGTCTTCAAAAGTCAATTTATCGAAAGCCTACATGGAAAGGACAATATCTACATCTCAATAGCTTTTGTCCAAATACGTGGTCTAGTCAAGACTCTGTACTATAGAGCGAGGAGAATATGCTCTATAGAGAAATTAGAGGAAGAATTCGAGTTTCTTGAAAAGACATTGAAGAGCAACGGGTGGGATCAAAGGTTCATCAACAAGTATGGGAGATCTGAAGCCACAAATGTAAAATAAATCACAGTGGGAAAAAAGCCAATCTACTTTCAGCTTGATTATAAAGGTGAAAACATTGCAACGATGATCACCAGAAGGCTGAGTACATCACTAACCATAGCCTATCCTGCAGCTAAGATCATTCCTGTCTATCGAACAATTTCCTCTGTAGTGCAATCAAAAATTGATAGATATCCTTCTCATATTAACTCCAACTGGATATACAAATTCACATGTATCTGCGGGAGCAGTTACATTGGAAGGACAGAAAGAAGGGCATATCTACGATTTCCTGAACATGAACCGAAAAGCTTACGTCTAAAGGGAACAAAGGCTTTAAACAGTGCCATCGCCAGGCGTTTCCTCGACACGGGTCATGAGGTGGAAATCGAAAAATCCTTCAAAATTATCAATAGACAAAGGAGCTCCATTCTCCTCAAGTTTGCCGAAGCAATTTCTACCAAACGCTTCAAACCAGACTTATGTGTTCAGAAAGAAGTCTTTCCTTGCCCTGGTGACTGGATGTCTTTATTCTCTCATCTGATTACGTAATCTTTGTCTTTAACCTCACCCCTCTTTTTTTTATAATCTGTAATTTTGCTTGTCTCTTGTTTCTATGACGTGAGTTGAACTCAGTACATCGTTAACTAATTTATTAGTCACTTAGCATCTTACTCACCTCTCGTCTTTATTACGTAACTCCTTCACCAATGTATGCATACATTTATTTCGACTTGAACTGCCTGTGTAAAAACTATATAAGCGCAATTTTTTGAGCACTGTTCGCTAATTGTGGAACTTTCTGTCAACTGACAACATGTAAAACTTTCAAGTATGTCAAAACTTTCCTGTACGTAAACCTCACAATTTATTTAGGCTGTAAGCATTTGACGAGAAGCCAACGAAATAATTGATGGTACCATATTATTCTGCACAAACCACTGTTGTTCTTGCTTTATTCAAATTCATCAAGGGGAATAAATCCATGAAGCTTTCTTTATGCCACTAAAGGTATTGTTATTCATATTCTTAGTTTAAATAACAATAAAGCGAAAGAAAGTCGATGCATTAATTGTGCGAATAAATTTTTTCTCAGTGATTTTGTTTTAATTCAATAAAAAGCCTTATTTATTCAGTCAGCGACATAGACACGCATAGTGATTGTAATGAGTAACTGTTTCCTCTTCAGCCTACTGGCAACAGAATTAACGTCTACAGTAGAACATCCCCCATCGCATAGTTTGTAATCAGCATACTCTTGAAATTATTCAAAAACTTCCCTCACATTGTAAGTCAGAATAAGTCGAAAAAGACAACTATGATTTAGTAAAAACCATAACAATAATATAGGAAGCAAACTAAATCACTCAAAAGGATTTATCAGTCACGAACAATCCTGAATTTGAGGGTCACACACTTCCTTTTTGTTATAAATAGTTAGTTAGAAACTTGTCCACTGACGATTAAAAGATTCTATCCACATTCTTCATTGAGAGAAGTAAGGAAAAGAAAAAATCAGGCATTTCTAGAACATTCTATAACTTCTAGGTACCTTTTAGATGGTCACTTCATATGACCTTAAAACTAAGGTATTCATCTCCGGAATTTATTTCAAAAGAAGAAAGGAAGTACAAGATGAAAGTGTGTAAACTATTTATTCATTTTCAACAAAATCATACATATATATATAAGAAAAAATGAACCAAACCAATGAAATAAGAGGTATACACGCAAAGTCTTGTAAACCAAGTAATTTATGTTGAAGAAAGTCTACGTGGTTAGGAAAGCCAGGGGCAAAGACCACCACTTAATAGCTCTTCTTATGATACAAAATACTAGTGATCAGATGAAAGCACCTATTAATTTTAGTAAATAACTTCAGAAAAAGGAAACAATAAAAATGACTATATTATCAGTAATACTGAATATTAGTCAAAGCAAAAAGATATAAATGGAAAAATACAATGAAAGAATATGAACAAGTATTACTTACAACTGAAATAAGTTAGATGAAAAAAAGGATGCCAAATCAAAATAAACAAACAAACAAACAAACAATACATTTGAAGAGAATCAGTAGACACATAGACGAATCCAGTCTAGTCCTTGAAATTCTTGTCTGAATAGGTCAAAATTAATGAAAAGCATAAAAAACTAACACGTGTATCGGTGGCATAGCGGTCAGGACGCTCGCCGACCATGCACATGGTCTGGAGTTCGATCCCCTATTAGCCACCAGCTTGAAGCCCTATGTTCCACCGGGGAAGGTGAAGAAAAAAAATTGAAAACTAACAGAGAAGTTGATAAGGGTATATCACTCAAAATAATTAATAATAATAACTCATAACACTAGTCTACAAATACCAATAGTTTATACTGTTCATGATCTGTGTTTCTGTATGCATAAAATATTCACATTAATGAAAAAGTAAAAACAACAACAGAAAGAGATATTAATTAATTAATTGAAATAACAAATTAATATGAAAAATCGAAGAAAAAATAAATCAGATGGAGAAACAAAGTCATGTTGGAAGAAAATGTATAGGACAAGACGCAATAATAAGGCAGTTCTTTTTGTAAGTTACTAATGTTACATTTTTGTAGAATATATGATAATTTCCAAAGAAAAATAATACAGGTACTGACTGACCGTTTGAACAAATTGAAATAGGCGGTATTAGTAGTAGTAGTAGTAGTATGCTACTTCTTTTCGTTTTAGTCACTCATTCAAGTGTAATTTAATAGGATACTTTAACGTTGTATTGAGCACCTTATTATATCGTTTTAAATCATGTACATGATGATAGCAAACTAAATCTTCTAATGAATCAAATGTACACGACTTTTCCACAAATCCATACTTCCCATTGATACAATGAATTAGACAATGCTGAACAGACGATTCCAATCTAAAAAGACATATTATCAGTGGAAAAAAATGTATACATCTTGTAATATCTATACAACTAAATTGTAATAACTACTGAAACAAAATTTGAGAAAACTTTAAATATTTTTTACCAGTGCGACATGCACAGTGGTAGTAGCACAAGAATAATGTAAATGTTTATCATGAATTCCTACATAATCTATGAGTTTGCGAACCGTTATTAAATGAAGTAGCTGGAAAATCTGCTACACATGTCATCTTACTGCATGCTGTCAGGTGTAATATTCGTTCAGGTGGGATCTGGGAATCTACAGAAAGAGTAGAGGACACCAACGTATTAACAGAATGACCGCTGGATCACATTTAATACGTTTTCTGGAAATGTTCATATGGTTGAAGGCTTTACGTAATACAACTTAGAATAGATCACAGTGGTTGAAATGTGTTAATACTTCATTCACACAGTGGTTATAAACTCATACTTCTTTAAGTACTTTGATTTTCTTGTTTCACTTTACGAAATGTTGAAAACACCACACTGTATCATAGGTACTCTTTTGGAATAGAGTGAATCATTATTATTGTTATTGCGTGTCGATGGTTCAACGGCGGAATGCTCACCAACCACTCAGGTGGCCCCGGGTTCGACTCGCGAGTGACGCACTCCTAGAACTTGCTAAGCCGGCAGTAAGGCCGGTAAACAGGGAACGTTAGACTTGTGGCTAGCAGCCGCACTCCGCAAACATACAACCACCGATACCGACACTTCAAAGCTGTAGCCTGAAGCCCTATATTCCACTCGGAACGTTCAGGAATAAAATATATAGTAAATAAATATTACTATCTTAACTCTTAATCGGAGCATGTTCACTTCTTCAACTCCCTCCTTACGACCTTCTGTGTAATGCAGTGAAGTGAGGTGTGTTCCTAGATTAGTGTTAAGGCATTGAATCCCCAGGTGGTGAACAGAGTGCCTTTATCCGGAAGAAAGTGTTTCGTAACTAGCAGTCAGTCAGCCAATTTCCCCACTTAACCTAAGTTTGCAGAACAATCAGCAGTAATGCGTAAAGCTCAATAGTAACGTAAACGACTAGTACAGAAGAGATTAACGCAGCTAAACACAACGAAGAAGGAGAAGAAGAATAAAACTTCCCTTTAAACTGTAAACACGCTGATGATAATAATATTGCCTGACGAATGTGAAACTTAAAGCTAGGAAGCACACTTGTTTCAGCAAATCGAATAGCCAGTTAACAGCCTCAAAAAATTACTAATATTTATATTATTCCAATGTTGTAGAATAAATGGTTTTTATAGTATTCAGTTGCCCATTTATAAATAAAGCCTACCTCATTTACGAGTCAAAAAAAAATTACGAAAAGAAATAATTTATACAAATTCTTAAAAGTGTTGGAATTCTTTCAGTCTATATTTACTCATATATATGTATACATGCAATGTGATTAAGACATACATGAACTCATGTGAAAAAACCTCCTAACTATTATGTGACTATTATTCCTACAAGTAATATGGTGTTTCAATTGATAGAGTAAAACAATTGAAAAACAAGTGATAGACAGAAGTAAATTACAAACGAATGAGCAATTTGTATGCAAAGCTTTTTAAATTCAGTCATACCGGTTGAAGAAAACAGAAAACGTAAATCCAGTGTAAGCTACTATAAGCCTGTGCTTAATTTTAAAATATGTTATTTAAACTATCTATCACACGATAAGACACACAACTAACTCACAAAGGACTAACAAGTGGTAAACAACTGAGATAAAAGACTGTCTCACTGATAAGGAAAGAAAGAGTTTTCTCTCTCTCTCTCTCTCTCTCTCAGTATAGTGTATTCATCTCCTTTGAATAGACACTTTTTCCAACTTGATAACATAGCCTATGGAATCTCGAATATATTGGGCCTAAGAGTTGCAACTTAATCGACTCACAAATCAGCTTCCAGTAACGAATGAAATTCGCCACAAAAAAAACTTTGTAGAAAAAAGCTTCAAATTTATCTTTGGATCTAATCATCAATTGTTTTTTGCTATAAGGATAGACAGATTATGTACAGTTAAGATTTGAGAATTACTACAGAATATCAACTGTAGTGAGAGAGAAACACTTCATTATCTAGATCTTGAGGACTTCATAGTCCCTTTATTTTCGTCACACTTCGTATTCTTTTCGTTTAATCTTTTTTCTTTTATTTTCGCCTACTTGTTCTTCCTCTTAACATCTTTTTTTCTCAGCAGAAAGTATTTGAAAGCTGTTTATAACGCATCTATGATTCGGTCGCACTGATCCCATTAATAATTCAATATCAATGATAAACATTTCAAAACATAATTTAGCTGTTTATGCGAAAAAATAATTTGAAAATTGAGAAATAATTAATCACTACAGTAAAAAGAGATAAGACGGTAGCAAACTATCTTAAACAAACAATAAATATATAGTTGGAGAACACTATTTCCCCAAAGGATTATTTTTAAAGAATAACTAATCACAAGTGTCCTAGCCATATCAATCAATATTTTTCACAACATTTATTGAGCTTGTCCCCCTTACCACACAACAACTCCACACGTTTAACCTCAATTAAACGTATTAATATGGAATATAGGATACAACTATCCTTGATCAAAGACAACTGGCCTCTTACATTTAACAGGGGTAAATCGCATGCTGGAATGCTAACACTCAAATGGATAGTCATATACTGTAGTATGGTAAATTACTATAAGTTCACAACCTTTCAATGGGAAGAAACACAAATCAAGTGTTATTAGGTCATTTACAGATCGTATTGCTATTGTATGTTCGAAGTCAGGTCGATGCTAGATAAACTGTAAATGAATTCTTGAGAAACCAAAGATAGGTGAAATTTCACCTTTATTACTACAAGTATAACGAATTCGAACAACTGAATCGAAATGATAACAGTAGGGCATTAGTGGTTAAATGAATCAATTATAAAAAATTTTTAAAGACAATCACAATGATATTGAACCCAGCCTAGTTAACTAGCAATCTAGGGGCTAGCGATCCTACACCATAAAATCTATCATACTGCTGGAGAAACTTCAAAGCACAAAAAAAAGGTATTAAAAAAACCAAAATCCGAATAACGATCTTAATCTTCGCTGGAATCAGAGAAGCGAAATGACGCGGGCCGGTGAAAGCCTACGTGAAACCAGTCAGCCGAAAGCAAGAATACGAATGTGGACATATATTATCCATACAATGTATGAGATTAGGAAGGTTATCCAGGTAGCCATCGAATGACATCGCACGCTAGGTGGTATAGATATCCATATAATATGTGTTTTGTTTGACAGTCTGATATATTTTGCTATGTATATATGGATCGATATTCCATTATAATTAGCCAATCATGTTAAGACTGTCTATTGATTTGTTCATTTTGAATATTCGCTCACACACCTGTTCGGACATTTATATATATTTTTGCTCTCACACTCTTGTGTAACATTTTTGATTCTCCTTGTGTTTGGAAAATATAAGTATCATCGCAAACTTAGTGGTCTTCTGATTTCTGTCTTTCTTGCGTCAAGACTATTAAATTCTCGACCAGTACATGACACCAGGTCATAACTCGAATGGAATCCACACGGGAAGCGACGAGTGGGTCGTCCGAGGGTGACATGGAGGACATCGTGCCAGGAGGAGAGGACAGATTATGATCAACCGTGGACCCCGCTGAAGAGGACGGCAGAAGATAGAACAAACTGCAGGTGTGTTGTTGAAGCCCTACGTTCGACTCGGAGCCCAAGGGAATAATAATAATACAATGACACTGCCAGAATTTAAGTATTTACCCGAAGGGACATAACACTACAAACAAATAAAACCCGAAGAATTCAACTACTACTAAAGACTTAACAAATACACAAGCGCTCATGATCTATTAAAACGTCCCAACAATAAATATGAATTTACTGCTCAACATAATAGAATCGAACCATATAAATACTTCATATAATAATGTATGGATGGGCAAAAACAAAGAATTAATTCACTTTTAAATAAACTCCACTAACTTGAATTAATTGGAATCTTAATAAGTTGTACAACTACAAATCATCACTCCATAACCGAACTTGTTATGACACAGTTAAGACATGCATCAATGACAGAACGCCTAAGTAGTGCATGATGCATACTACTGACTGCTAGATTAGCTGAAAACCATTCACACCAATCCCTGTAGCTGGTTGGTACAATACAATGATGCTAGATGATTAGAGGTGATAGGTATAAAGCGCTTAGTGGCACTAGTCAGTAAAGTGTATTTGTGCACTTACATGTGTGAATCTGTATCACCTAGTGAGAGAGTCAGGCACTATAAGAGCCACGATCAACCTCCTGTAGGACTGTGATAAATATATTAACTGGTCGCTAGAGAGTAAACAATACAGTCTAGCCACTAGTCCATACCGAATCACAGCCGATCAGCCGATTTCTAGTGCATTGTGGTGAAATATCTCCAAGATTGGCTGACATATATTGTGGTCTTGACTAGTAGAATTCCTTCAACACTAAAGATCAGGTAGCATGATATTCACTACTCGCTATTTGACGATTGATGTACAATAAGGTTAGATAATCGCAAGGTACATAGACATGAAATTTCACCTCAGGCATTCTAATTTGGAAGTTTGAGGTTTTCAAAAAAGGCAGTCACAGTATAATATCGCCTTAAATAGTATTTTTTGCAAATCATTAAATCCACGTTAATCGCAGCTAGAGATTGGAAGACATTGAAACATGCATATGTACTCAACAAAGAACAACAAACAACATCGGTATTATTTCTTGTAAAAACCATAAAATATCAAGTGCTGTATTTTCGTTATTTCTTATTCAAATCATGATAAAGAAAGCAAAACTTGCACACTTAACTCAAGTGGGAGAAGAAGAGAACACCATACATGAATATATTGTTACAAAACATTAGACTATATTGTGATGCGAAATATAGAACTATTAAAAAAAGGCAGTGGGAGAAAACACTCACCGTACACCTAAGGCTAATTTATTTCCAGCAGTTGAAGGTCTAACAACGAAAGTTCCAGGAGGTCTGTCAGTCAGTAATTCTTCTACCCTTTGCCGAGTTACATCAGTAAGAAACCAATACCGACGATCACGTATCTCCTCTGGTACAGATGCATCATCAAAGTTTATGAACACATGGCTTTGAATATCTTGTTTCATAGAACCCATTTCACCAGTTTGAGTATCAACCAATCGGTTCGCGGAAGAGATACACCCACTATCCAAGGAAGAATTTGATCCAGATAAGGATTCTGCTTTAATCCCCCGATCTTTAAGTGCACGACGAATCTCTTGCGTTTGTCTTTTTAATTTACGCTGTCGAGAAATTGCATTTGCATACTTCTCAAAGACTACTCGTGCTTTTTTACACTGTTCGTTAACTTCTTCCTTGTTTTCCTTGATTTTCTGTTCAACTTCACTCATTTCGTTTTTAAGTGTTTCTATTTGAGGAGAAATTTTCAATCTAAATTGATTTTTTTTAATGTAAATAATAAAAATTGGCTCAATAAATCATAAAAACAACATACACAAAATGATTAAATCAGCTTCACTCCCCTGTAGAGAAAAAAATGTTGTCCACCCGCCCCCCCCAACCTTAACTGTTTAGAATCAAGTGCATGTACGTTTCCGAGCATAGAAACTCGTTAAAATCTATGTCTATTAGAAGACTTTTAGGATTCTTCCATCAGATTATTCTTCTTCAATGAAATTTGACTGGTGACTTTAAAGGAATTAATTCATCACGGACTAATTTAGACCATTGATAAAAGTTCTGGCTTCGAAAGTGACTCATTTATTTAGACATTCAGTCATGGGTCCTGATACTTTGAAATTTGATTAGCTTTTATTTCTTTATACAAGAAGCTTAGTATTGTATACAGACTGTGAAATATTTCACAGCCAATAAATAGTTTTTGTAGCCGCTACAAATCAATTCGCACGAACTCAATAGTTCAATAGTAGAAATAACCACCAAGAAAGCAGACCACCCACATCCCCTGGATAACGAACTCCTAAACCTTGTCTACTTATTATTATTATTGTTCCCTTGGGTTCCTAGTGGGCTTCAACTGCACGTCTCCACTTGCCACTTCTGTCTTCTGCTGTACTTTTCACCTGCATCCACCTTAGTCCATACTCTTTCAACTCCTCCTCACACGATCTCCTCCATGTCACCCTTCCACTGACGTCCCACTCACCGATTCCCTTTCGGCCTGGTTCCACTCGAGAAATGGCCTGACACGCGCACGACGTCACCCAATGGCCTCCTCAGCGAGTGTCCAATCCATCTCCACTTTCTCCTGCATATTTGTTGGTTGGAGATTGGTTCTTGTTTTGTTTAATCCCAGCCATAGTTTCTTGTTGGTGATTCTTTCCGGCCTGGCCATCTGATCTTCAGTATAGAGCGAAGACAGTTGTTGATAAAGGTCTGCAATAGTCTGTTGAAAATATTCTTTGTGACCCGCCCGCCAAGTTTCTGATCCGTATAGAAAATCCGATCGAATTTTGTTATTGATGCTGAGTGATGAAGATTTCCAGATTGGTTAAATTCATGATGTCTTTGTTCTTATTTCAATACTATTTTGGCGTAACCACCTCATTCATATCTGTGAAGATGTCACATTTGTAGAATTTCCATGAAATGATTCAAAAGCATATATATATATATATATATATATATATATATAGTCATGGAAATACACAATAAAACAGGAAATAAAATAATCAAAATACCAATCCTAAAATATGGTAATACAACTCACTTTTCACTAGGATAAGAATAATTATTCAACCGGCTCAATGATATCTGTAGCCATTTATACACATTTTTGTATGCTTTTATCAAACGAACAGCATCTTCCTTCAATTCAATTGCAGATTTAGACTGAAGCTCCAAATCAGCTATAAGCTTATCCAACTGACTGATTTCAACAGCTGTCTTCTTAAGCTCACTACTTAACTGTGAATCAGATAAGAAACAAGCAAATACTCCATCAGCACTGCGTCTATTCTCTCCCGAGATATTGTTATTATTATTATTATTACTGCTGTCATTATTCGACGATGCATCAGCTTTGCCATTAAAACGTTTATGGCGGTGTGATACAGGCCAAATTAGTCGTAAACTTCTGTAATTGCTCAAGTTCAATGGATGAGAACGACAAAAATTAATGAGTTCAGAAACCAAACGAAAAGTTGGATGTGGAGGATCAGTAAGTCCGAAGTATTCACCACGATGGTATATCCGATTCAATTTGTTTTGACCTTGCCATCTAGTTGAAGAAAGTATACAAATCAATTACATCACAGAATGTTACGGATACTTTTTACACAAGTTATTTAAAAGGATGTACAATGATATACTGGTGGTTTAAAATATAACGAAGTCAACATTACAAAACAGATTTGAAATGCAAGATTACTTGAGAGTTTGAAGTAAGGCAATAAAACTCAAAAAAAAAACAAATAAGAAATACCTGACCACAAGAGTGAAAGCAGCAACTGAACGCTCAGATGCATCACGAACAAGAAAATATCCATCTTGAAGACCTGCCATTATTTCACGTACTTCTTCTTGTGTGATATCACCCCAGTACCATTCCTGATTTTCTAAATCCTTCTTATTTGCAGCAGTTGAAGATGGACTTGGAGGAGTACTAATTGTCGGTACAATAGCAGTATCATCGGAAGACTGGTCTAAATGTAAAAATACAACTCAACGATTCAGCTGAATGTATAAAATCGTAAAGAATATTAAAAAAGAATTTTGTCCTTAGTTGGTCTCAGTTTCAAATCGTTACTGTTATATAACTAATTCAGTAGCAAGTTTAAAAGAAGCAAACAGTCCTACTATCCTAGTCCATTTGGATCAACAGTAAAAGTAGCTTTCCATGTTAACAAAATCCAATGACTATTACAATGAATGATAGTCATGAAATTATTGGCAGTTCGCATCAGGATTGTTTGATTTTGTGAATATAAAAGTAAAATTACACTATATTGGGATGAATATATATATATAGAGAGAGAGAGAGAGCATGATAGATGTGATTACTCCCACATTAATTAGCGAACTGTAGTGAATTAAAGCGGATATTCTGGCTAGGAAATTGAAGATTCATGAAAAATTAAAATTGTTTTTACGAGTTGATCACAGACTGATATCAGTTAAACAACCACTGAAAACTGGGGAGTACTGAACGGCTAACACACGTGACATCTGGATGAACCTCACTGGTCACGACTTCTCACTAGATCTCCATAAAACCCCAACCTGTAGCAAGTCACTAGCGAGCATCAGATTAATATTATATAGTTTCGTTTGTAAGAGTTAGTTTTGTTTTCACGAGTTGATCACGGATTGATATCAGTTAGAGAACCATTGAAAACCAACCAGGGAGTACTGGACAGCTGCTGTTTTATCCTAGTTTGGAAATCATCGGCAATACGCACCCATTATTGACTCTCTAACTGATATCGATCCGTAATCAACTCGTAAAAACAAAAACTAACCCTTACAAACCAAACTATAGAAAATTAAAATTGTGTTTCATAATCAATATTGAATATCGAAATAAAAAAAGAGACGTACAACATATGCTGAGGCTTTCTTCAGTAACAGAAGCTGATTACAATACTGTTTGTGACATTCATACAACGTAAATTTTATACACAACACAACAGTGTCCTAATGTATATTGAGTGGCATTTCTTTATAATAATAATAATCATTGTGCTACTTATTGTCCACCACTATTTTGAAATAACAACATTCAGACTTAATGTGTACACAACTTAGCAAGTTGATGAGCACGCTGACTCCGACCACTATTAAACTGAGTGAATGAAGGACAACATAATTGACAGTTTAAAATAATATATCTATCAACTGTCACTCCCAACCAGTAAAATAATACAGATGAATGCTTCACTTAAATAAAAACTAATTAGAAATCCATTAGAAATTTCATTTTCATGTCAACAATTAAATCACACTTTCCATAAATACATAAAGTCAGTTGAAAGAAATCCAAGACACAAAGATCAGTTGATACAACTAGCAACTGGTACCAAACTGTCATGTACAAAAGAGTACACTATCCATCGTGTACTATTGGTCGATATAATCTTCGAGTCGGCTTCATATTAATCTAGAGCTAAAATACACCTTCATCAAGGCCGTGTGTGTCATCCATCATAATCTTTAAAAAGCTAACTATCATAATTCACAAAAAGCACAACAATGAATAAGATGTTAAGAGTAAAGATAGACATATGTTCGACTCTAGAATTTTATACACAATTTCTTTTTAGTGTCATATAAACGCGAATGTCTGAAGGCGAAAACCAAAGGACCGGCAGAAGAAGCAGTGAAAACATGATTTAAAGTGAAAGTAGACAAAATAGAGGTGATGAAAATATACCTACCAATGACAACAACAACAACAAGCACCAATCCCCATCAATGGAAAAAGTCTAAAAGAAGTCGTTTCTTCCACTTACTACCTGGGCAGAGTGGCTTCAACAACAGACAGGAGGCACAAATGAGGTTGTTAGTGTTCGTCAGGGAAACGATACAGACTTTCATCACTATGAAATTAGTGTAAAAGTCTGTTGCATTCAGCATCAATAACGAGGTTAGAATCTTCAACAATAATGTTAAGTCACTTCTTGTACATAGTTCAGAGACTTGTCGTGTTATCAATAGGCCTTCACCGGTTCCATATTGAAGATCAAATGACCAGAAAGGATTAGCAATAAAGAGCTCTGGAAATATGCCGAAAGAAATGGAGATGGGTCGGACACACGCTGAGAAGACCGTCAAGTGACATCGAGCGCCAGGTCCTCAAATGAAATCCAAATAGAAAACGACAAGTTGGGCTACTTAGTTCAACATGAAGGAGATCGTGTAAGGAGAACATGAAAGCCTGTAAGCAGTCGTGGAGCCAACCAAAGAGAACTGCAGAAAACAGGATAAAATGAAAATGGGCTGTTGACGCTGTATATTCCACTCGGAACTTAAGGGAAATAACAATAATACAGTGTCTTTCAATAAACACGTTTAGTTAAGGATAAAAGCCAGTCAGTGCGGTTGGTATTTGTTAAAAAAAAAATTTAATAAACTAGTACACCACCACCGACAGCCTCTTAAAGCCGCGCCACCAATTTCATATAGGAGCTCTTAATGTTAGGACACTGTGCCAAATAGGACAACAAGCATCACTAGCCAAGACCTTGGCATCACGAGCCATTGATGTATGCTGTGTTTCAGAAACACGCATACAAGACCCAAGTGTGGTTATTCACCTAACCCCACCTGGCCAACAGGTTGAATCTGCGAAATTCACCTTGAGGGTGTCAGGAGATGCCACAGCTAGTTCACGAGGATTAGCTGGCGTAGGGATAGCTTTGAGCACTAGGGCAGAAAAGACACTGCTTGACTGGATCCTGGTAGATAGCCGAATGTGTGTTGTCCGTCTGAACGGGTCATCAGTCCGCTCCGTCCTCCTTTATGGTTGTGAGACCTGACCACTCAGAGTGGGAGACATGAAAAGACTAGCTGTCTTTGATCATAGGTGCCTGCGCTCTATTTCCCGTGTAAAGTGGCATAATAAGGTGAGCAACATTGAGGTTAGGCGTAGAGTTCTAGGTAAACAGGGGAAATCAATCGACGAAGTCAAGAAGCTACAAAGACTGAGATGGTTAGGACATGTGTTACGTATGCCAAGCCATCGCCTCCCTCGACAAGCAATGTTAGCGGATATAGGGTCAGGCTGGAAAAAAACTAGCGGCGGTCAAACAAAAACTTGGCATCAGTCAATGAAATCCACAACAGTTGGTCTAAGCCACGTAGAAAGGTGTAGACTTCCAGGCTGGGGTCCTCGGGACGGTAAAAATCTATGGTTGGAAACAATTGGTGACATGGCTCAAAATCGTTCTCAGTGGCGCAGATGCATCCACTCCTTGTGACTTATGATCTCCAATGAAACTGTTTTGCTCTTCGTTATTACTCCTCCTTTGTCTCACCCCTCTGGTCACAGTTTCTATTATGCTTTTCTTATACTTTCTTCTCTTGCTTCGCGTGCTACACGGAGTGTGGCGACTTGAACTTCCGCACATTTGTGCAAAGTTCTATGTCGAAAACAGACAGACAGACAGACAGTACACAGTTCAAATTTTCACTGTAATCTTGAGTTTCTAATATAGGCATATGAAGTTAGCACGTGATAAGGATAAGATAATTGGAGAAATTACAAGTCCCTCTTAAAAGTGTTATGATGAAAAAAAAATGTAATTGTTTAAACAGATTAGTAGTCTGAAATTTCCAACAAATGTTCACGTAGAAAACGAACAACCTTATACACTTTAATATCAGTATGTTATTATATTTTTAATGAACACTACATGTAAAGTTAGTAACAAGACAGTGACATGGTAAAAAGCAAACAAAAGAAGATAACAGGGAAAATACATGTACAAAGAAAACAAATAAAATATCTATTGACTGAAATCAATGAAACCCATGTATCAGTCCAGATGAGATAGGTTTATAGAGAAAAGCTGCATATACTATTGAACTGTGTTACATATTTTCAAGTATTGGTTTTGTAGGGATTTGGTTTGATTGCATGGAGGATTTCACCATGAGCAGACATCAGTTAGAGAACCACTGGAAAATCTGGGAGTACTGGACAGCTGTTTCGTCCTAGTTCGGGAATCTTCATCAGTGCGCACCCAGCGGGGTTCGAACCCAGGACCTTCTGATTACAAGGTGAGCTAGCTGGAGAACCATTGAGCCACTGGGACCCGATCCAATGGTCCTTCAATTTTAACTTCTGCCTTCTCACCTTGTAACCAGAAGGTCCTGGATTCGAACCCCGCTGGGTGCGTACTGATGAAGAGTCCCAAACTAAGACAAAACAGCTGTCCGCGACTCCCAGGTTTTCCAGTAGTTCTCTAACTGATGTCAGCTCATGGTGAAATCCTCCATGTGTTACATATCTAATGTTTTGCCGCAATTAAAATTACCCATAAACTCGATCCGCTTCGACTGTTACTTCACAAGCATTTATATACATTAGTATAACAAATGAAATGATATCTGAAAAAGGCATCATATGCATCATGGAAAAACATAAGAGACCTTATCCTTTTTAGAAAAACTGTTACACTACGAATAAGGGGGAACAATCAGTCTTTCTAAATAATTTGATTATTATTTATTATCATTCCCTTAGTTTCCAAGTGGAAAATATGACTTACCTGAAGCCTCTTCTGCCTCAGGTTTTAATGTCTCATAGAATTTTCTTTTATTTCCACTGGTATTCTTCTTCATTTCTTTATTCAGTGCGCAATACATTGAACTCAACTCTTCCATTCATTGTTCACCTCCTGTTTCACCATCCTTCTGTCCTTTATTAGCTTCCACTAGTCTGCAAACAGTCGTTCCTTGTTTTGCCTCTTCTTTCCTTCTAGAATGGTTACATATATTTCCTTTGACATCATTTTCACAGAATCCCAGCATTCTTCAACATGGGTTTCCTCGACGATGCTACATAATGTTTCAGACTTTGCTCTGATAGCTATAGAGGATGTATCCTTTATGCTATTTTTAAGCTTGTAGTTGTTGAACTTGAATTTCGGTTCGTCCCCATATTCTTTGAAAGCTCTCAACTTGACCATGAGGATCCTTTGCACTAAATAATACTGTGAGCCCATAACTGCCTTCTTTTCGATTTCATGTCCAGCAGGCAGTCTCCACTTTCTTGAGAATCAGATGAAGTCTTTCTGATTTTTGGTATTTCCATCTGGTGAAACTCATGTCCTTTTGTGTATATCCTTATGCTAGTAAATGCTAACTCCAATTACCAAGTCACTAAACGCACAGAAGCCTGCAAAGAGTTCCCGGTTATCATTCATTTCTCCGAGAGCCTCTCGACCCGATGGGCTTTGTTCCTGTGAAATTGGCTCCCAGTCTGACTAGTATTTATATCATCCACCGGGGTTTGAATATCGCCATTTGGAGTCTTGTGCATTACTTTTCGCTGCTGTCTGCAGAAGCCATCCTTCCTTTATAATGCCTCTGTATTGTGTTCAGGCGCGAAGCATTGAATAACTGAAACTTTCCTACTATCCTGGAGAAGTGAGGACCTTCGATTTTGCTTGGTGACATCAAGATAACTAGTCCCAGTACGCTCGTAGTTACCATTTGAGTGACAAGAGCAGATAGCTGATTCTCCTCCAGTTAACAGTTCGAACTCCACTTCCATTCCATCTACTCTCATGGATTTCTAGCAGTTCTATTCCGTTGGTTGTCATTTCTTCTGCAATCTGAACAACCTTCGCGAACGCGAACATTTCATGTGCCGAAGCTAATTTTGGCTACCATTGTAAGAGGATACATAGAATCACTGGCTTTCCGAATATTTTCACCAGTTCACAACATTTTGTCTCTGATTCTAGAGAATAGGTTTTTTTAGTTTTATGTACAGTGGAGTTTTTGTAACCCTTGGGTTGTTTTTCCGTGGTAGGATGGCTAGTTACTTCATTTTCCAGGCTTAGAACTGGTTAGTGAAGTAGGCGGGATTAGCTTCAAGTAATAGACAAATAAAACAACACAAGTAATCTCACTTAACCAACTGATGGACGTGCATTCAATCTTTCAATTTTGTGCAAAACGATTCATACTACTATTAGAAACCAAAGTATTTATATAAAATATTTTTAAATAGAAGAATAGATGAAATAGTGGTAAATAGTGACTCACGACCATATTTCGTTTTTGGATCACATACATCATCTACTTGATAACCCGTGTCTAGTACATAGGGATTCAACGGAGAATTCTTTACCTCACTGGTGACTTCTAATTCATCAGCGACTGAAGCATCGACAACAACAGAAAAGAGAGTTTCTAGTGCACGCAGATGTGTATCCATACCCATAGCTATGTCTGTGATTAGGTGCCATGGTGGTCGTACAAGTATTTGTCTAAAAAGCATTAGCCATGGAAAAGAATCATTTGGTCTACCCTTTATGGATGCAGAAAATGAACTTGATTGATTGACATTTACAAGTGATACACCTGATGAAAAGGTTTTTAACTTGTTTTGATGATTTACTACAAATCCCAAATGATTGAAAATGTGAATTAAGCATAGTCGATGAATCTCAGGAAGACTGTCGAGAAATTTTTGAACAGCTGTTGGCTTCTCATCTATAAGAGAAATATATATGTACAAGAAAATACGCTTCATAAAGATATAAACTTACAAACAGTAACAAATATTCGAAATGGAACTTATACATGTACAATTAGCCTCATACAGTACTATTACCAAGTGACTTGTTTTCACTTTGCTGAGGGTTAGAATACAGACTAAAACAATCTAATGATTTAGTCAGTAACTTGGATTATTATTCATTATTTGCGTTCCAAGAAGAATATAGGCCTTCAGAGGAACTCCGTGTTAATGTTGCAAATCGGGATCTTTAGCCTTGAGCTGCATACTGTAAATCTCCACACAGATTTCACAATAATGAAGGTTTATCTTACTTTCTCTGCCTGATTCTGCCTATAGCTGCAACGATGCTGCTCAGATAACAGACGACTTCTTTTAGATTTCCGACCTTCAGGTCGACTAATGTTTATTATTGTTGGGGTGTCTTCATTGTCTCTGTCTTCTCTATTTTCACCTGAAGTTCTGTTTTGGCTGCCGATTCTGTCCGCTTCTTGCTTTTAGCCTGCAAATCTTCAACTTTGTAAGAAACGAGACATAAAGCACCCACAAAGTTTATGATCTTTTTGTCAGTTTAACGTAATTTGTCAAAGACCTTTCCTAAGTCGGTGAAGTTGAGGTAAACAGTTCATTGACATTCTACACTCTGTTCGTTGACACTTAGTGTTGCAATACGGTCAGCGCACGTCTTATTTTCCATGAATCCAGTCTTTCCCAGATGAAGTTCTCCGTCCAGGGCATTTGTTAGTCTTTCAAGAACGAGGCAGATTAATACTTCAATTAAGATGGACAGCAAAATAACTCACTTCGTCAAAATATGCCTGGATTCATGCAAACAATGAAAATTTCATCAGCAAGTCAATCACACTCTTCAGACAAGACAAAAATAACAATATGGTAACAATATCACATTAGTGTCTAGAAATATAAATTCAATTGATAAATCGCCTAATGCTTACTTGAATTTTTAATATTTGCTAAATTGCAAAAGTCTAAATAGTTATCTTCTGGTATCACACTGATTGGAAGATCTCGAAGAAACGCTTTCAATAATTGAGCTGAACGTACAATATCTAATGGACGTAATGATGATTCTTCCGTATCGGGTAGAGGTAAACAATGAGCAAAAGTATTATGAAGCTCTTGTAATGTGTGCGCCGAAGCTGACTGTTGATATACCATAAGCATATCAATAGGTTGAGTATGTGGATTATTACTAGCAGTAGTAAAACTCTCAGTAGCAACTTTTTCTATTTGTTCAGTACACGCTGTTAAGAATGCAGGTAGTTTTGAAATAGGATCCAACTTCTAAAACAGAAAAGTACAAAAACAAAACAGTTTTATCAGTGAGCTTCCAAAGTAAATCCAAAAAGTAGCTTAGTGTATGTGTAAATCGTGACAGGAAATCAGTAGATAGTCAGATTTCGGTTAAGTTTTATTTTCAGCGAAATTATCTACGAAAGAATACTAATACAACTGTGGAGAAGGTTACATTCCCTAATTGTACTTCTCTATGTACAACAGAATACAGATGATGATGGATGAACTGAATAAAATCAACTGTTCTACGGCTATTAAATAGTACAACCTGTCATTGTTCTAATCACTTTGAGAGTGTTTATGACTTAACTGGTCTGAAAATATGGTATTGAGTACTATTAACCAACAGACAAACTTTTTCAATCTCTTTTCTACAACGATATTAAATAATAACGATATATATATATATATATATAATTTATCAATGTACAAAAATGCATTACTTGGTCTTCCAATTTAACACCAAAATATTGGCTGGTATAAGGGACCAGTGAAGTGGGAACCTCGTTCATTTCATCATGAATAGATGACCCAGTTGCAAGGAACTCTCCAGGACAATCAAGAAAGCAATCCAATACTTTACAGATACGATGGCATATAGCTCCACACTTTTTACACTGGAATCCTTGATGACTGAAACCTTTGGTGAAAATGAAGATGACAAGGTATACCTTTAAAGGGGAATCACATGATAAATTGTTGTTCATGCATGATTACTTTAGCACAGGGAAATTTGGAGAATAGGACATGCAACATTTTATACAATAATACACAGGATAAATACTACGCGCTTTTAGTCCATTCATAGTTCTGTGTTCAACTTTATTTTACTTCTCTAGACTCAGTGTGTTTCGTGACCACCCAAGTATTTTCCTTTCTTCCGCTTTATACATTATGATCAGTCGTCCCATCACACTAGAGCTTTTTTTAGTAACAACAATTATTTAGTCCTGTTAGCACTACAAAATATGGTTGCCATGTGGCAAGAAATACAATTTCATCTTAATAACATTTCTTTTGATTATCCGATTGAGACCTCCCCCCAGTGTCACTCTACCCTGTTTTTCTTAGACATCTTATTAAATATCGTGCATTTCTGTATTATTCATATTTCTGTCTATGCATAACCTTTGATACAGTTCTATCACTTCCGTGCAAAAAGCCTTACCGCCAGCTGGATACCACTGTCGAATAAATCCATATATGCGTGTTCCGCAGCTGACCTTTCTTAACATCTACTCTCTAGAGTTAGAGAGCAATGTAGGTGGTTTGCTGACCATACCAAGATACATTTTACAGACAGCATACCCACCTCCAACTGCAATATTAAAGTTTATACTATCACAACTTACAACCAACAATCATTTCATTTGTCAATCTACTGGAACTAATCTCTTTACCATCATGATGCAATAACGACTTTTTTTATACATATCATTAGGAATCCTACTGTAATATCTTTACTCTTTACATGATAGGAAGATGATGCGAGTCACTGCCTCGAGATCATATTAGATATGATTAGGAATAAAAACCAGGCAAGCATATACTTACTAATGAGGTCCCTTTTCAAACATACATTTCATTCTTGACCACTCTTTCTGTTGGATACTTTAATCACTCTGTCATATTATTTTGTGTGATAAATTATTTCGCGTGCATGCTGTGCACCAGATGTACGCTTGTTTAACTGTAACATCAAAAGTGTTTAATCACAAAAAACAAGCAAATAATGCAAAAAATGCAGTACCTAGTAGAGGAATTTTGCAAACAACACAAGCGACTATTCTGAAGAAAGAAGTAAGCCGGAAATCATGTTCACGGGAGGCGATAATTCTTTCAAGGCGGATTTCCTTTCTTTCCAGTTGCGTAAATATACTTAAATCTTCGCCTGGACCAGGTTCTTTACCTTGTAAAACCTTTTAAAAAGAAAGATGAATAACACTGATTTAAATGATTTCATTAAATGTAATCATCAAATAGGTAATCATGTTAAAATCGTATTTACAGTCAAGTCCAACTTAATGACACGTTTGAGTTGTAGATATCTACCGAGGACAAGTTAAAGAACAATAACCCAGGAGCGTGAGCACCTCAAAGACCTTGAAAAATAAATGAAGACCAAGTTCATGAAAACAAATGAAAGATATTATATTCTTGGAAAAATAAGGAAAAACTTTTGACAATATCAAACGGAGTATCTGTTTAGTTTAGAGTTTAGTTAGGGGAAGATTAGGGTTAGGAGCAGGTTGATGTTAATTTAAAGGAAGATTATAGGAATTTAGGAATACATTAAGGTGAGTTTAGGGGAAGATTAAGGCTAGGGTAGAGTAAACGACCAGAATTCGCGGTTTGATATCGATAAATCGTTTCAAGGTCATTTGGGCGTTTACATTCCCCGACGCTGCAGTCACTGAAATCAATGTATATAGAAAAAAAAAAGAATCAAAAGTTTGTAGAGAATATGTGCGAATATTATGCGATAGTCTAAATGTCAGTGTTTTCTTAACCTACACACACTACATTTATACCACTTTTGGTCCATCAGTCAGAAAGTATTATTTTCGATAAGTGAAAATATCGCAGACTAGACAGAACACTTTCAATCAATTATTGTCATTTCAGGTTGTACAGAAAACATGGAATACAAATATTATATACTCGGAAAGAAGTGAAATAAAACCACAAACTGAGCAATGATAGCACAAACCGAGCTGATTAATAATTTTGACGACTATATTGCAGTGAACCCTGCACCAAAATCAAAGTATTAAATTTAATAAATACCATCTTGCTTTTTTAAAGTCTGCTTGGATGTAATTTGTCTTAAACTTCTCATTTAACTGAAAGCAAGTAGACCACCTTAACCGATGGGAACACAACAAACTTATAAAAAGTAAAGTAAACAATCAGACATTTGAAATTAGACAAGATTCATCCATGATAATAAACAATGTGAGCAACACTTGAAACAGATGTACACGGGAAAAGACTTAATTATGAGGAAAATTTCAACCACTAATACAGCATACTAACTGACACAAAACAAATCATAAAGATACTGCATAAAAGGAACAACTCTTGAAGAACAAGACTTCCCGTGTTTTAGTTCCTAGACGTTACAATAGAACACCAGCTATGCTAAAAGATAATCCCAGGAATGTTTAATTAGCACGAATGGAAAAGGATCGGAACAAAACCTGAAGAATCAAGTTAGGGTAAAGAACGAAATAACAACAAAAAGCACTTAAAAGTTTTTCTTAAAGTGAAGATATTTTTAAACAATTCCACAGTCTTCTTTCCTCATGTAGATATTACCACGAGATATAGCACAAATTACGAAATAAAACTTTCGACAAACTACAAACAACCAACCTATGGAAAGTGGTTGCTTTTCCTCACCGAACTAAAACAATCTGCAATGATTGACAGGGGAAAGAGGAAGTGATGACACTGCAACGGATATATAAATAAAAAATGAAGTTGTACGACAATTTGTCAAATACGGATCGACAGTTATTTCAGTTATATTTGTGTTAAAGTGTTTAGGAAAGATTATATAGAACAGTACCTGTCGAATTCTTTTTACGGTAATTGTTCAGATACACTCCAGGAGTTCACAGTTCAAAAGAAGAGAGAGAAAAGCTTCACTGAAAGTTTCGAAATCTCCTAAAGAATAACAGATTATGCATTCAAATCTAACTAAACTAGGCACTAAACTGTAATTCAAAGAAGTTGGGCTGCCTAAAAAGTCTTACAGTGATCTTTTACACTGCAAATGATGAAACTGATTTGAGCGACTTTTTCCACAGACCCCATTACTTACTTTACTTTACTTTACTTCGGCTATCTCCTACGGGAGGATGAGCCGGCTTCATGAACCATGAAGTTTCATGGGAATTAGGTACGAGTGATGTCCCCAGCATCGCACCCCATTAGGCTTACACAGAAATAAAAGATCAAATTCATCACCTACGAATTAAATTCAATGATCGACACATGCGGAAAATATCACCCAGAATCACAGATTACTGCTGTACTGCACTACGCGCCACCAATCCCGTTCACATAAACCGTAGTTCACTAAATAAATAGGTCACTCTATATATCCATTCTTAATCAGATCGCAAACTTTAAAAACACTTATTCGCGCGTTCTACTTTGAAAGGGAGTCTTTAATTAGTATAGATAAAGAGAATCACAGAAAATATATTTCAATTTATTGAATATATTCTTTGCTTGAATTTACGAAATCATATCACAGTTAAATAGAATTTACTACTTGAAATAACAGCCAGAAATAGCCAACGATGTTGTTTGTCACTAACACAGCCATTCAAATTTTCTACACACGCACGTACAATTACAAAATAAACCACCGTGTATACTAAATAGCATGAATTGCCTCCTAATTAAATGCAAAATGACCAGTTTCCACTTTTAAGCAGATAAATTACTGTGATTAAAATCCCTATCTGAGGATTAATGAAAAGAAGGCTCAGTAAAGAGGTTCTCTTCTCTAGCTCCACCAATGCACTTATATATCCAATTTTCTCACAGAAGACGAAGGAACAAAAGAGATGAATTGTCACAAGAATAGTTTTTAATATTAATCATTACAACATAGGGGAAGTGAGTGATAAAGATAGGTTTAAATCAGGCTACAAATAAAAACAAGAGGAAAGGTGATACTGCATAAGAGTTTGAGTGAAGTGGAGGAGTTAGAAAGAGTTGAAAAATTGCGTTGTTAGAAAACCACGAGGTTTTTATCATTATGGTCAAGGAATTTTATTTTGCGTGCAGATCTCCTGTTTTTCCATCTGGAGAACTAGAGCTTCAACCATACAAAATGGACGAAGACGTATTTTCTTCGGAATACGCGGTTAGAGGTTACACGAAAAAGAGGAACTTCTTGACCTTAGATTGTCTGAGCGAATAACTTGTTCCGTAGCAGCTGGATAAGTTCCTTCAAGAGCAGCATTTGTTCTGCATTTAATTCTTTCAGATACCTTCATCGCCTTTAAATCCAAACTTTAAGAAAACTGATTTCTTCTTAACTGTAACAAGTTGTGTTTACACACTTAGTGTTCTCCTATATTTATCAAAACATTTCTGAGGGCATCCATCTTCCCGTAAACACTATTCAATAATGGTAAGTCTATAATTAAGTAATCCTTTCGAACAAAGTTTTTCATAGAGGTAGAACAATGTCTTCACCAGGCGTTTATGTAGCTTATTGTACAAAAACTAGTGAAACTGAAATGCAGTTCATTCGAGGATTCTTTACGACAGCTATACGAAGGTACATCGATCAGTTTAATTCTAAAATCCGGTTTTCTGAACCCAATTAAATCAAACTACGCTTCAGTGACAAATAAGCTTGCTAATCTTGCAAATATAACTCATCTTCAAAGTAGAGAACAATAACATATGTGTGATGGATAGCGCTTTGGTTCATTAAATTCCGCATTTAATCTTCAACCTATAAATCACAGGTTCAAACCTACCCCATCTACCAAAGTTTGAACAACCAAGTAGAGTTATTAATCTGAACATAATATGTACTGCTCGTTATTAGATGCATTTAAATGTAAACATAAAATTAATAAACCGGCAGAGAAATTGTAAGCATACAGATTTATTTCTCTTAAATGATTCAGACACAACATATTCCAGAAAAAGATAAACACCTATTTAAGGAAAACAAGACATAGAAGGAAAGAAAGGATTGAAGGTAACTGTGCACATATAACTTACCAGTATCGCTTGTTTTAAAGCTTCGCATGCAAATGGATCAATTATCTGACGTAAACAAGGTGAGTCAGGCGTAACTTCACTCACAAAACTACCATCCAAATTATGTTGTAGAAACAGACCAACAAAACGTTCAAAACCCACAACAGCTAACCAGTGAGCTACTTGAGTACGATTCCATGTCACCAGTGGCTAAAATCAAAAATATTTATTAAAATTACGTCTTAACAAGTGTACCAAGGTTACTAATTTATGCAGCCATTTTATTGTAATTTCTCATATAGAAATTAGTATATCTCCAAATTGAATGCCCCCATAAATAACATTGGTGTGACTGAGGGTGCATAGACTTTGGTCATTCTCTCAAAACGCTTTCGTATGATCGCACGTTCACAGCTTTTTCCAGATAGGTCCTGTTAGCTACCTATACAGTGAAGTGTTATCACAGAGCAGAAAGGGTGAATGCAAATATTCGGTGATTATAACTGGACGGGTAGACATGGAGGTCCACGAAAGGGAGATAGAAGACTCCTATCCCAAACATCTCAACTACATAATCCGAAATTATCGAAGAGAGTACGAGCACAGCTCCTGGTGCTACTCTGCTTCATTGTGGAACGGACTTAAAATCAAAGGACCAGAGAGTCAGTCCTGAAGATAATTACAAGCCCTGATCTTGCCATCAAGGCAGTATCGCGAAACAACAATCAGTGAGAAACTCTGCTAGCATGCATACTATAACATACTAATTCTATAACAGTGATTACCGACTTAATCGTTTATCTTATTTTTATGTATAAATCGTTTTGTTTTATTTATATCACTACGTTTTCTAGTGACTACCTCCATCAACCATTCTCTAATGTTTGAAATTTCAGTCTATTCATACCGCTTCAAATGACTAGTTAGCAGTCTTCAAAATACCAATCTCTACTGCAACATCTCACAGCGTTATTCTAAAATCGCTCCTCCCGTTCAGATTGCCAACCAACAATGTTCACTCATTTATCTAAATCCAACAACAGACAGCTTTAGCCAGATCTGTAGAAAACCTAGATGTCGATGTATTCTGCATCACAGACCCACATACAAGATCCATGACATTCGGCTATCAACCAAGGGACGTGTGTACTGCTCATCAGTTCGCTCCGTCCTTCTCTATGGCTCTGAAACATGGCCAATACGCGTTGAAGACATGAAAAGGTTGACTGCTTTCGATCATAGATGTCTGCGATCTCTGTCTCACGTTAGGTGGTTTCACAAGATAAGTAATGTTGATGTTAGGCGTAGAGTGTTGGGCAAAGAGGGAAAATCAATCGACGAGGCTATAAAGTTACATAGACTAAGATGGCTAGGTCACGTGCTGCGCATGCCTAACCACCGCCTCCCCCGACGGGCTTTGCTAGCTGATATAGGTTCAGGTTGGAAAAGAGCCAGTGGTGGCCAAACAAAAACATGGCATCAATCCATGAAATCCTTGACAGTTAAACTGAGTAAGGTAGGGAGATGCAGACTTCCGGGTTGGGGCCCTCGGGACTCTAGGAATCAATGGCTGGAGACTATAGGTGACATGGCTCAAAATCGTTGTCAATGGTGCAGATGTATTCAGTCTCTGTAATCTTTCATATTCCTTTCTGCCATTACCCATTCTGTTTCACTCTTATACTTGTCAGACTGTATTGATTCTCTTCACTCATCTTCTTGTCTACTTCTGTGTGCTATTTGTAAGGTGGCAACTCGAACTGTTGCACTTCGGTGGCAAGTTCTATGTTGAATCCAGACAGACAGACATACAAGATCGCAATGAAATCCTTTGAATGGCTTCTCCGTCTGAAAGTTCGTACGCCTGTCACGGGATCCTGTGGCATCAGCATCTAGCCTAGTCGGTATCCATATCCCACTAAGTGCTAGAGATAAAGCTACATTACTCGAGTGGATCCCTACAGTCATTTATGTGCCGTGATATCAGGTTATAGAAGAGTAAGAATCAACCAGCCAGAGAATGGTTACCTGTTCATCACTTATGCCTATGAACCGAAATATTACAACCCGGATGAGTCCTACAACAAGCTGTGTGAGCTCCTGACGCATGAGCTTCCAGCACATACTGTAGTGTTATCTGGAGACTTGAATGCACAAGTCCGTCCCAGCATAGTCACCACCATAGTGCTATCTGGTCTCCTCCCTCTGTCACTCAGACCTGGATTCAAACATATCCAATCAGTATCTGATACCAATCCTGTAGGTGCTTCCTCTTCTGGAACACTTGTCTGATTATACTTTAGTGCATGCCACGTTTATGCTGCAACCTGATTATGATCATAAATGTCGTTCCCAATAGGTTAACGTAATTAAACTGGTAACACTCATCTCTGCGAAGTATCAGACTGAACTAAAGTCAAGGCTATTTAGTAACCTCCTATTCCAGATAGTACGGAAGAACACTGCTTCCACTTACAATACTCTATGAAAATGGCAAGAAAGCCGCTTGCGGCTTGAGAGAATGCTGAGCTAAAAATTACTGGGTTCCCATGAGCTCCTTCCAACTTTTTATGGTGAACAGCAAGAATGACTACCTAAGGCTCTCATGTTTAAGGTCAAACAATGGTTACATTAAGATCGCAAAGGATGGTTGTCAGAAATTGCGTGCTGAGCCCAGCAATTGGCGAAAGCTGTTTCGGCTCCCCCGAGTCCCTGACAGAAAAAACCACGGTGTCAACGAGACAGGTAGTGAGGTAGATGGTACAGGGACTAACAACCTAAAGGCACTCCTGGAACGTTGGGAAAGGCACTGTAAGAGACAGTGTAGCTGACCAATAGCGTCAACATCCAGCATCACTTATTACAATTCTGCATGGTGAAACTCCAGTTAGGGAACTGAGTGGATTGTTCAGGAAATTGTGTGAAAGTGAGGATGTTCTATCAGTGTGGAATGCAGCTTGTATGGTGGCTACATTTAAAATGACCTACATAACCCCATTAATCCGTTAACAGTTGCGTCTAAAATATTGGCTACTATCTTGCTCCACAGGCTGTATAAAACGCTGTGAAATAGATTCGCGAACTACATCCTGAGTTTTGTTTGGCTTTTCAATGTATTATTCACGCGTTTACCCTTCTTCAGCTGACAAAACACCATGATACGTATTGCAGTTCCACAAACCTTGAATTTCTTGATATTAGGTCCACTGGACTGAACTATTCTTAGAAAGACATGTTCCTGTGAAATTCGCTACCATCATGAAAGCCCTATACAGAAGTAACTCACTTAGAGTGAGCATACAACCAGCTATCATCACTGTTCTCACACAACAGTAGGGTTACACAGGGTTGCCGATTCTTACCTTCCTCTTCAACTTTGCCATCAGTGACATTCTGTGACTGTTTAGTGAAAACCAGGAAAACATATGCCAAATTGGGCCACCTCTGGTGCCGTTGAGACGTCATCCTGGCCGTCAAAACGTCGGGCTTACAATACTTCAATGCTCTCAGTCTAGCTTTAGGCTTGTGAACCATTGACATAAGAATAAAACTTGTGCACTGTGGTAGAGTGTAATTCCATTATGGGTAAATTTTGTTTTTATAAAGTCTCACAATGTTATACAGTAATGTTTACCGATGACGTTTCGAGGACAATTTATTGCTCATAATCATATCACCTTCATATGATTTATCAAAACAAAATTTACCCATAATGGAATTAGGCTTGTGAAACCTGGCTACTCTGATCTGAAGATGTACGACGACTCTGCGTATTCGATCATCATTGCCTCTGTGGAACCCCTTGCAGCAGGTGACATTATCACGCAATTCTGAAGTCCGGCAGAATGTTTCGACAAGTTGAGAACAATCTATCAATTCGCGGAATATATGCATCAGATCATAAAAAATATTAAAAAGACGGTTGCAGTGAAGAAAATTTTCTTTACGACAAAGTCATCAACTAGGATGTACATCTGTATATTTATAGTAAATGGGTGAGGAAGTTCCAGAATCACTTCCGGTTAAAGGTCAAACTAATAAAATTATAAAGTGCAATAAACAGGAAGTTCGGATAAAAATGCATAGTAAGATCACAATTGCTGAGAAATTTGACTGTTTGTGAAATTAGACATTAAAAACGTAGTAATAACAAAACAGGCAGGAAGTTCGGATAAAAAACATATTAATGCAGATAGGAATTTAAAAAACATAAAAGTAATAGAAATAAACAGGAAGATCAGATAAGAAAGGTAATCGGATAATCATTACTAAGGGGACTGACTTTTTTATGATGGCCATGGTAGGGGAAACGGCTGAACGCATTTCTTTCGGATATATAGTGTAATCTTGAACTTTGGGATCACTAATGTGTCAGCTATTCACAGATGCCTTAATTTCACTTCCTTTGAGAGGTTTGGTAGGATCTTGTATACGACTTTGAGGGACTTTTCACAAGGAGCTGAATGTTCTGAATTCACCAAATGTTCTGTTACCGGATTATATACATCCTTGTACGTGCTCTCTCTCTCTCTCTCTCTCTGTTAACCATGCTGTATAGTGCTCCCGAGCATGTTTTACTAGCGGGGACATGGTACGGTTGATATACTCAGCTCCACACGAGTAAGTGAACTGGTTTATACATGTTGAAGTGGCCCAGTGCGATAGTTTGTCTTTCATTTACTGGCTGAAAGGTTTCCTGCGAAAAAATGTCACCGCGGGCTGGTGGAGAAGTCTGTTTTACTGAGATTTCGAAAGAGATTTACGGAGAATTCCCGCTCATCCCATTTTTAAGTTCGAGATTAAGCATCAGCATCATTTTGAGGGTGAATTGGACCTTTTCCAACGTTTTCCTCAATTTTAGATTCTTATCCATGAATCTGGATAGAAAAATACTTTCTGTCAATCTGTCAAGGTCACCCGTAGGTTTCCCAATTCTTCGTTAATTCATTCCTTGACGTATGTTTTCCTGATCCTCGAGTAAAGGGAGTGTGTGAGCTTTTTCTTTCTGCTTAGAGAAACACAACTATGAAAATCAATAAACTGTCTATTCCATGTGGGCTTTTTGTATATGGATCCACTCAGCAACAGCAAGCTATCAGCATCTCTTCGCAGTTGGACACCGAGGAAATGAAACACTGAGTCAGATTCAACTTCTAGATTGAAGTCGACGTTTGGGTGGGCATTATTAAAGTTTGGCAGCAGGTTTCTGAGATCCAGATTCTCACGACAAACTATGAAGGTAGCATCGACGTATCTCTTGTAGAGATGGAGCTCGGTGATAGATGGTGAGGATAAGGAATTCTTTTCGGGACTAGCCATAAGACAATCGGCCAAGAGGGGTCCTATAGGAGAACCCACTGCTATTCCATCTATTTGCCTGTACATTTCGTTGCTGAACCTAAAGTGGATGTTGAAAGTGTATCATAGTAACAATTCCTTTAGATAATGGATCGGTAATCATCACTCACTGTTGTCATCGAATTTAGCAGTCACCAGCTTCATGTTCTTACATTTCGCCACAGTCATCATTTTATCCAAGATTCTTGGTCTGTATTTACTACTCCTGCTTTGAATTACTTCTATACAAAGCTGAGAATAATAAACGAAAATGTCAAACCGTTAAAGTTTTTGAAACTTTACCGCATTTTAATAGGTGAGCATTTCTAATCCGAATCACAGTTCACAATGTTTTTGATGCCACATGAAAATGCAACCAATGCTTCAAACACACAAAGCTGCGAAATATACAATTTGTTCAATATCTGCATTACAGGAAGACTACAAATTGCACTAGTACCAATAGAGCAGAGGGCTTAATGAGAGACAATTATTTTATCAACACCCAGATACTGAAGTGAGACTGAACGGTATCTCTTCATTATCCAAGAGACCAGAACTGCTAACGTAGGCAAATGACCCACTTAACTACATCACACTAAACTATTAAAGCACAGATTAGTACACACCAACCCAAAATCTAAGGTATCTGCACAAAGTTCTTAGAAAACTGTGTTCCCGTGAAATTTCTATTCAAAGTGTATCAAGGAGATTTGCTGCATCCCAATAAGTTATCTTTTGACGAAATCAACAATATTTTAGCAGTAAGACAACCAACAATCGTTACAAAGAGATCTATGAATTTAACAACCACAAGTTGTATGTACGGTTTAAAACCTACTGTGAATAAAAATAGACAACGAAAAGGAAATACCTGTTCACTTGTTGAGATAGATGACGATGACAGAGGGAAAATATCGGATGCGTACGCATTGGCTGATTTTTCTGGTTTCCCTTTCACATTAGTGTTGGTTTCCCTTCGACATGGTAATTTCTCAAATCGTTTACAGAACTCGGCACAGACACGATGGAATAAAGATTTACAGGCTAGACACTGATTTGCATTACAGCGTGGCGTCACTACATAATCTCCACATAAAACACAAAGTCGTGGAAAGCTGACAGATACATTGTTGAACTGATGACACTCGTACAAAAAGGCTGACAAAGGGAACAACAAGACAATATGAAATTTAAAAATTGTAGAGTGATTAGTTTAAGTGCTCAATTTTCGGTGACATGATATGCCACTATAGACGCTAAACATTTCCGAAATCCTAGATTTTACCACAAACTTTGACCACCCCCTAAGAAGTCCAAAAACAAAAGTCAACCAGAAATGATTTGATGACAGACGACCTACAACAGAATCAGTACTGCTAATTTTGGTTATCAAAAAATCAACACCAGAAGTTAAATGCAAAAAACTAAAATTGCTCATAATACATGTGTGCATCCTTAGCAACATGGTACTGTATAATTTCATACAAGCTTAATTACTAGATGCCACATTCAGAAAATATGCAATTAATATTGTTCTATAATTCCAGATGACAGCGATACAATGCACCAGTATCTTCGCCATACTGCAGGATGAGTAATTTAACATACGGTTAAAGCAATACAATACATCCTACACTTAAATGTAAAATAGTATACTTCACTTGTTGTAACAGTAAGGTTGGTTAGAATTTATAATAGCTGTAAATTAAGAAAATAAATACATTAATGACTTGACCCACCCGGTACAGATACGTTACGATTTTTACTTGTATAGGATAAGGCATTTTGCGTCGCTAAACTTGACAGATTAGTGCAGGAACGGGAAGACTGTGATTTAATCGGTACAGGCGGTAATAATGAAGAAGATAACTTTACAAAACGCTTGTATCTACGAGGGATAACAGGTTGCGATAGATGCCCGGTATCAACATTTGTAGTACTAACAGGACGTGAAATTGACGAAAGTGGTGTAGGTACCAATCGATCGATACTCTTACTCCTAACATGAAGCGAAGAATTCACATTTGATCCTGATGGATGGTTGTCTATACAATAAGCTGGGAAATACCCTTTAGATCCTGTTGTTTCATTGATTCCATACAAAAACGATTTCGGTGCGGTAGCTAAAAACAAGAAAATATTACTTTCGAAATATTTTGTAGATTTCAGACGGTCATTATAATAGAGGTTTTTGTATTTCCCAATGAATGAAAAACAATCTCGTTTTGTTTTTCACTCATTGGGAAATACAAAAACCTCTATTATAATGAATATCATATACCCAATGCCCAAATTTTTTCAAACCGTTAAAAGTGAACTTGGTTTGGACATATATAATTCAAACGGTCACTTTTAAATATTATGCTCATAATTAAGTGTTTCAGATAAACAAAAGGACTGGAGAATTACACCTCACTGAAACTTTTCACTCAATCATCACTTAAACTTATCTCACACATTAATGGTGATAATAAAATCACCGTGTAGAGTTATTCCAGAGGAGAATAGAAAACAGGATGAAATAGTTCCACATAGGAATATAACGTATATGTAATTCAGGACATATTCAGGGCACATACTACCCAGTTATCCATGAAAAAAACTACACAAATTGGGATTCGAACGCATAAATCAGTCGTTGGAAATCAGCGAAGGTGGCACAGCGATTAGGACTCTCGCCCACCATGCACATGGCCCGGGGCTCGATCCCCTACCGACGTACACCTGATATCAATGGTTGGCCTGCAAATTTGGGCTACCGATATCGCATGCTAAAAATTCCACACTTGTACCAAGAAATCATCTGATGAATAGAACTGGATAGTTTGACGACTATTTTGAATTCTGACTTTAGTAAACAACATATACACTAGACGGAAGTCTACACAAACAGGTGAAGATGACGGCAAGATGAATTCGCTTAAAACACAAACTCCGTAAAGATGAGACGTGATATTTTTTAATAGGACTAGATTCGACAGCTTCTTATTTTATTTGTCCACACAAAGTGATACAGAGTATATGCCAGAAAATGCATTGCAAATTCACCAACTCATACGAAATCACCGCACTTTCAGTAGACACTCTTGTAAATTTCACCTAACCAACACACTAATGATACTCTATAAGATAAATGCAAGGTAAGTGGAATTGGTTTTACTTGTTTTCTTCCTCTTGAACAATAGTAAATAGAATTTCACTGCATACCATAATAAATTTTAATTAACACTTCACTAAAAGTCCAAATCATCATAAACACTACAAATAAACAGGAACAGTTATCGAATGAGATTTCTATCACTTATTTATTAACCCTTAAATTCATGATCAGAAAAATTATACAACCTGTTCATGTATGCTGGATCCAAACATAAATGACTTCATCATGTAGAAACCCACAATACTACAAAAATTCCAGATACAACTTCAACTGTCGAACGAAGAACAAAAGTGGATCTACACAAAGCAGTACCCGTAGTACTTAAAAAAGAGATGCGATTGTTACCTACACTACATGAGGTGAACATCGGAGTTTAAGAAGTGAAGAAATACTCTCGTTTTGTAGCTACAAAGAAACTACATTGCCTGATATGGTCCCAGCAATTTTAGGTTCCACAATCATCCAATACAACACTGCACCTCATATAGAGTGAACCCGAGAAAAAAAACTAAGATTGCATACCTAATCATGACGAGAACTTAACCCTTTACCAAATGATTAAACGTCGACCTTCTTCGATGGTATTAGCCTTGTTTTTTATACTATGAATTCCGGTGATAGTTTATTTTCGCGATTGACAAATACACCAGTATAGTGTGGATATTACTTGTCTTATTAAGTGTTATGATCAGAAGTTTTATATAGTGATTATATCGGATGTTTTCAGTATGCTACAAGCGCTTTTCAGCCATCGATTGAAACGGCCGTTGTGTGATTCAAGCTAACTTGGAGTTTAAAACAATAGTCTACATTAGAAGAAGCAGGACTATGCAGCCAAAAATAGGTCAGGTCAGCCATCCCAAAACATGAGTGACAAAAATCTGTTAAACGATATGAGAAAGTGTGGGCTTTTCCATTTCTGCTGTTAACGGGAACCGATGCTAGCAGTCAGAAAACCTAAAGAATAGTACTTTTAATCGATCAAAGTGATGTAAACTCATCCATTTGTACGTTATTTCTATCTATACTGAAATACCGTATTTCCTTTATTTTGCGACTGTTGACAGTATCATTGTTATTTTCGTTTCGATATTTATGTGTTCATTGTGAATACTTGAAATGACATTAGATCACGTTACCTGGCGTTTATCCCTTTGTAACCAACTCTTGAACAAGCATAATCCACTGACTAATACAAAAACACTGTGATTATCATATATGTTAGTATATTGAACAAGGAATAAAAAATGACCAGTAGTCATATCATGTGAAATACACGATGTTAAGAGTACAAAGTAACGAAATCTTCGTCTTAAAATATAAAGGTCCTATCAACAACGATAATATTAAAATGCACTCACAAAAAACAGAAGTTCAACAGTAATTTTAGCTAAAAAGAAAATTGCATACCATTTGGAGGACGAGTTTCTACCACCAAAACGTCACCAGCAACTACATCAATACATTCTTTCACCGGCAAAGATGCTTGGTGAAATGTTGAAATGCAAGTATATCTTCCAGTGTATAAGTCGTCACTACAGTGCACGTCGTTCTGTGTCATAAAAGAATATCTACTTCTCTTGCTACACAACTAAGAGTGAGCGTAACTGAAATTAGTAGACTATAAGAAAAAAACAATATTTTAAAGTGAGTGAATACAATCCGATATAAAAAGTGTTGTTTAAAAAACCAATTTTCAAAAGACAATTAACTATTTTATTGACTTTTTTCTAATAATCTACAATGAGTACAAAATGTTAGATTAAACATGTTTTTCAAGCTCTTCTTCTTGTTGTTTTGCTTGCCAGTTCATCCATCGGTGGTTGAGAGTTGCATATGGTAATGGATAACGTTCTCCAACAAGAGGAACAACAAAGTCAGGATACTTCTCGAGAAACTGTACATAGGCTTTAGCCGCAACTGACGCGATTAGAAATCCACCGCAAGCAGACATACGAATGCCCCTTGAGTCTTGAAAAGATAATGAATGAACGTAAAAATAATTCACTGTAAATAGAGACTTCTGAGGCATTTTTTTTCTGAAATTAATTTTGTTGAGAAAATAAGTGTTCATATACGAGAGGTAATAAGATATAAACTTAGAGTAGAAACACGATGCTAAAAACAATTGTAACTAGTATATATGATTATATTCTTCAATCTTCTTTATAAAAGAAGATTGAGTGAGTCAGTCAAACTAAGATGGCGGCAGTCCTAGAAGGGAAACGTATTGCCACATGCCACTACGACTTTGGATATACATTTGAGAGTTTCATCTACCATACTTCCATAAGAACTAAAGAATGACCTACATGTGCGAACTTTCCAACTATTTTTAACGATATGACAGCGACAGGGAGCGCGGATGAAGGCTTCTACCAATCCCGTAGCACTAATCCGAACTTACAGACATTGATCATAAAATAATTAAAGGATATTTGGGTGGCCTGAATACTCAAGGTCAAATAGTCATTGTTTCTTTTAACTCATTCACTACTGATTTAAATTTGAATTCTCCAACTCCTCTGTCACCAGACCAGTGATAAACACCCGCCATTTTATTTTTATAACAACACTAATGCATCTGTATTTAGGAAAAAGATAACTAAATAAATCTGAGTGCTACAGTAAAACTAATCTAATGTACTATAGAAGCAATAGTAAAGGCTGTCAATAAACTACGACCACAGTTGATTTTTGCAGCTGATTTACGAAATGAGACCGACCCTTGAAGACTCCAAACATGATGAGAAACGAAAGCTCCACAAGCTCAGCTAACTAAAAACTTTCTTCGCAACAAAAGCGAAAAAAGTGGAAAAGGAAAAAGAAAGTAGTACGCGTCAACTACGCATAAAACCTTTTGGTAGGAACGGTGGAACGGTTTCGGGGAAGGATGAAACTTAAATGACTTATTAGTGGAAACGCCTGAGATATTGGGTAGAATACTTTGAAGAGCAGTCCAGCTAAATCACAGTTAGACTAGAATTGTTCGTCACAGAACTCGTCTAAATAGTATGTAGGCATCCAACTGCAATTAAGTTTGCAGGTTTAAGTCTACCAAGTAAAAGAGCAGAATCTGATGGTATGGCTCCGTCGCTGATCATTCCAATTCATAAGAAATGAAACAAATCTTCCCATGATAATTAAAGCGAATCAGCCTAGCTAACATAGGTTCCATAGTCCAACCCCGGTAGGTTATTGATTGTATATCCATGATACGTAGGTCATTTAACGCAGACGCACTGACGTCCAACACCTACCACGTAATTTTGACTTGAAGGCGACATTAGATTCCGTGGGGCTAGATGCACTGAGGCAATGTCTCCTTGTGAAAGCAATGTCGAAAAAATAAATTGTACTTATCAAGGCATTGTATTCAAACTCAATCTGTCGTGTAAAGGCTTATGGAAGCCTGCCATCTAAAATCAAGACAGGGTGGGGTTTTTATCAGGGATGCTCACCGTCATCATTCTTAATTAATTTCCTGATAGATGTATTAGTGAATGTAACTCTTGTCGACTTGGATGTCTTAGGAACTTTCTACTAGGGAAATTTTTCTTTGATCTCGAGTAAACAAATGATATTGTCTATTTACGTGAAAACCTACCGACTTCTAGAGAGTAAACTGACCACGGAAAAGATACTAATGTCTTATTTGTGATCTCTTAGCTCGAGTTATCTGTGGGTAACGATTCCAATATCTCCCAAAAGAGATGTCAACTGTGAAACGGTTCGCTTCCTCTCTCTTTACGACGAAAGTTGAGGATATATAAACACTAGTCGCTTTAACTGTGTCCTTCCGTTCAACCTAACGTGTTAGGTGAAGAGATATGGTCAGTAATAATGTGAGGTTAAGCAGTGTTACTTAGGGCAGCAGCTTAATAATGCTATGAAACTCCCTTGATTGAAATACTTAAGGTGTAGGTCACACCATTAACTCCTTCGAGAAGCAGTGTTAGTTGGCATAAGATCCAGAACTCATCACAATAAAATACAGTATTAATCCCTCAATTCCTTGACTGTTAATCTGGACGACGTAGGGAGGTGCAGACTGCTTAGCTGGCTCTCTATAAAGTTGTGAATCACTAGGTGGTGGCATGGCTTAAAAACATTCCCGGTAACAGATGTGTTCATTTATTATCATTATCTAAATTCTCAAAATCTCCAATAATGTTAACCTTACTGTTCCTTCCTCTGTATAACTTCGTTCATTGTAATTTTATTACATTTTTGTACCTTTGTGTGTGCTTTATGAAGTACGGCATATTGAACTACCGGGCTTTTGTGGAAAGTTTTACCTTGATTTATCAGTAAGTTTCCACCTTAAAGGGCAATGAGTAAAAGTGCGTGGCAGATGCTACGAACGCATGACCACAGGGCAGTATTTTGCGAGTAATATCGGAACCTACTAAGAACTTAGACTAGAGAATTCCCAAGTTACTTATAACTGAAAACACACAACACCAGAGTAACTACTATTTTCAAAAAGGGAACTATAATTACAGATACGGTAAATTCAAAAATTACTCACCAGAATATCATTTCTAACATTATTCTACAGCATCTTCCTACACGGTTATATATATATATATATATATATATATATATATATATATATACATATATATATATATAAGCGCCCGTACGATAACACCAAACTACTATATACTTAAAAGATATGGAAGAGCAGATTAAGAAGTTTTGTTTGGTAGCTACCATAAAACACTTAATCTTACCACTCAGGAAAAATACTACAAAGAATGATCCAAGAATATTTAAAATTCTAGCCTTTAAGCCATGCATGGAAGCGAAAAACAATTACACAACGAGCGAAATATCTGACACACTGGGCAATTTCTCGACTTACATTTCCAGGTGCATATGAGACCGCTAACAGCTCCACCAACTGCATGATTGAACAAACCATCTGAAACCCCAGTAGATTTTGCTGATATCAAAGAAGCAGATGAATGACCTAATCCTGCAGCGGCTAAAATACTGGTTTTAAAGTACGAACGCACTCACCACCAATAAGTATGTATTGAATGCATTTCACTCCAGCCTGAGTTAGGTTTTTACCACACGTAAATGCGTAGAGGTAACTGCTACCAGCAACTATAAAACCTGTAACGAGATTATGAGATGATTAACCTGAAGTCAACAAAGAAAACTACCTTCAGTAAAATACAAGATCCAGAACACACATCATGGATTTTGTTTTAACAGGGTTTTCTCGTAAACTTAGTGAATTTTATACATGATCACAGACAATGGTACTCAATATCCGTCGGAATGAATCAACAGAAATCAAGAAGTTCCACTGCTTGTTAGAGGGACGTTCTTTTCAAATTGCAAGTGACTTCGTGTGTCCGCGACGCTTTGCACGAGCTGTAAATATTCGCAAGCAATATTTGAGTTCTTATTAATTAAGATCTAATCCAAGTCAGTATTTAACTGCAGCGATCAGTACAATCAACTGCCCTAAGTAAATCTAACTGAAATGATAATTAAGATTACCGCGAAAACTTAACATAGATAAACTCGCACACTTCTTATCTTTGAAAGGTGTATTTACAATACAGGATAATTCTACATCAATACGTTCTGACAATGTAGAGTAAAATGTTTGATTCAATCCACCATTCCACTTTATTGTGAAATGTTATCGGTCTTGGTGGACTGATACCTGAATAAATTTCAGCATATATACGGAGAACGTTTGGTTCCTACTAAATTACGACATTCATGGTCTGGTGTGTCTGTCTGTTTTCAACATAGAACTCTGCACCGATGTGCAGCAGTTCAAGTCGCCACATTCCATGTAACACACAAAGCAAGAGAAGAAATGCAAAATAGAGACAGGAAACAGGCATATGAGACAAAAGGAATAGTAATAACGAAGAGCAATATAGTTCCATTGAAAATTATTAGTCACAAGGAGTGGATACTTCTGCGCCATTGAGAGCAATTTTGAGCCATATCACCGACTGTCTCCAGTCATTGGTTTTTACCGTCCCGAGGACCCCAACCAGGAAGTGTGCACCTTCCTACGTGGCTGGCTTAAAATAACTGTTGTGGATTTCATTGACTGGTGCCATGTTTTGGTTTGACCACCGCTAGCTCTTTCCCAACCTGACCCTATGTCAGCTAACATTGCCCATCAAGGGAGGCGATGACTAGGCATCGTAACACATGTCCTAACCATCTCAGTCGATGTAGCTTTACAGCCTCATCGATTGATTTCCCCTCCTTACCTAGCACTCGACCGATGCCTAACCTCAGTATTGCCCACCCTATTATACCACTTCACATGGGAGATAGAACGCAGGCACCTATGATCAAAGATAGCTAGCCTTTTCATGTCTTCCATTCTCAATGGCCAAGTGCCATAGCCATAAAGGAGGACGGAGCGGACTGCTGAGCAGTACACACATCCTTTGGTCGATAGCTGGATATCACGTCTACGCCAGAGACGGCGTAAACTGGCAGGCGTATGACAAACGAGCCTTCTGTATGCATGCTGAGATTTCGTCAGCGATTAACCCGTTGACGCTGATTCAACTTCCCAAATAATTGGTCAACAAGCTCTACCACTTCATACCCTATTTTAAAGCTAGGAGTCAATGTAGTCCAGTCCTGAAGCACCATCTTACATTTGGCGGGAGCGAATCGCATGCCAAACATTCGTAAATTGCAGCTTAAGGTGTTGAGAAGACTCTGCATATCGTCAGCGTCCTCACCTAGAAGGACTATATCATCTGCATATTCGAAGTCAACGAGAATATTATTTCCTGAAGATAACAAATCAATCACTAAATCGCTGAAGTCAGCAGTTACGGCTAATTCCATTAGTGCATCTATGATGAAATTGAATAGAAACGGGGATACTGGGCATCCCTGTCGGACACCACTAGTTGTCACCACTTCAGATGACAACTCGTCGTAAGTACTCACCTGGCTGACTGCATGAGTTCGAGTAGAGTGCCTTGATGAGTGCAATGTATTTTCTCGGCATTCCCTTTACAGCCAAGCATCGCCAGAGAACCTCTCGGTCGACAGAATCGAATTCCGCCTTAAGGTCAAGAAATATGACGATTGTTGGACGCCGGTAAGCATGCCTATGTTTTAGAATCTGTCGAAGAGTAAACATATGATCAATACACCCTCTTCCTGGTCTGAAGCCTGTCTGATTCTCTGGTGTTCACGCCTCCCGATAACCGCTTGGTCTACGCAATATTTTTGAACCTAGGACTTTAGATACCATATTAGTCAAGCTAATCCCCCTGTGATTATCACAGGAAGACTTGTCTCCCTTCTTGTATATCGGGATAATCAATGACTTACACCAACCCCACGGGACTTCTAATTCCCAGACACTGCCCACAACCTTGGTTAACACAGAGAGGAAACTGTCTCCACCGTACTCAAATACTTCTAAAGTCATGCCACCAGGTCCTGCTGCTTTGCTCGTTTCAGACTACTGACAGCCTTAGTAACCTCAGTTAGGGACGGAGGACCTGTGTCTACATCCCATTCAGGGAGGTGTCCGATGTTAGGTGAGTTGAGCGTGGCTGTAGGCCAATTAAACTGCTTCTCAGTGTTCTTTCCAGCGTTTCAGTCGTCTATCATGGGAGCCAATTATGGTGCCATCTTCCTCAGGGATTGTTTCGCTTATCGTCTGCCTTTTACCACCTGTCTTCCTGATAAGTCTAAATAGTTTTCTGGTGTTGCCAATCGCCGATGCCCTTTCCATCTCTTCCGCTTTTGTCGCCCACCACTGTTCACGGTATAGTCTAGAGTATCACTCAACAATCACATATGCATCAATCAGATTAGCAAAGAAACAAATATCTTGTATGAACGTTGACAATACTAATTGGCTGCCTAAACCTCGGTAGGTGGAGCGAAGTTTAAACTTATGACTCACTGGTTGGAAATCAAGTTCCACGCTCAATCAGAAACAACTACACCGACCAAATAATTATGACAGTTCCAGGACCACCAACCACTGAACTTAAAAATCTAGGCATCCCTTGAAAAACTCTACTGGTACCTTAAATACGAATTCGATTCAGGTTAAGCGTCACACATTAGTTTACTCACACCTATATAGGCACGACGGCATATACGAACGTCCGGGGCTCTTTACCTGACTGCAAAGTATGGAATACTTGAAAAGTGTTTATTCTAAACTAGTGCTGCACATAGGCTTTACATCACATAAGGTGGCAAGGTGGTTAGTACTCTCACCGACCATGCAAATGGTCCGAGGTTCGATCCCCTGCCGATGGACAACTGATGTCTATGGTCGGCCTGCAAAATTTGGTCTACCGATATCACATGCTGAAAATTCCATACTTGTAACAAAAATCAAGCTGTAATCAAAAATAAAATAAAACCTGAGGTTACTTTGCTGCCTTATCAAATTCCAAATGTTCGGGGAGTGGCTCTTTAGGACAATCTTTCGCCTTGCTTTAGGTACGCAGGTAATATGTCAGCAATCATATGAGAAACAGGAGGATATTTAATAAGCAGTTTGATTGGATTATGCATTATCATTAGGCCCAGTAGCATACTACTGCTATCATTTGCATAAAATCTTTTTTTTTATGTTGTATAATCTTTATTTTTCAAACGTCTTATTAACGCCGACCGCATGTTATTACTTGAAATCTCTTTCTATAATCAGGGTTTTGGGGTGCTAATTAGTTATTCTCACAAAGCTGTTAGATACCTAGACGGCTCACTACCAACGTTCGCATATTTGATGCAACTCAGACAAAATGCAGTGTTAATCAAAGATATAGAAAGCAGCATCGCAGATGCAGAAACAAACAGGGAAGAAACTCCAAGAGCCTCTCAGATTGCGAGACCAACTAGGTTATTTCGTATGTGACTATCCGAGAACCTGTGGTACAACCATCTATCTCAGTTGCTGTTGTTGGCGTAATAAGAGCTAGAGGCGTATCGCTCGAGTGTGTTCCCATTATTATTCCCCAATTATTATCTCTTAGAACATAACGGTGTATTAGAGAAAATGGATCCGGCAAAGAGGCCTTGTATTTTTGTAAAACGACTGTCAACTACCAGTTGATATTCTAATCGTAGCTAACGATGAGAACCCACAAATATATAGTATTCACACTCATATTAAGGCCATTCGGCTGGTATATTGGGACTAGGTGAAAGAAGCCCATGTGACCTTCAGTGAATATCAACCCATTAATCTTCCTCTTGACCATTTGTGCAAACATATAAGATAAGATAATAGCTTTATTCCAAATCAGTACTTGTGATACAGAATGGAATTCTCAGCATTTTTACTACAATATTGCATCCACTTAGTACGTTAACAATAAATAAAGTTCTACATAGATTTAAGTTATCTCAGTCAGTTTTGACAACAACATATTAGCATGTCGGTAGCAAAGCCAAAATTTAAACAGTATTTGAAGGTGTCAGAAAGGTAGATACTACTAGCATATTTACTGGTGTAACCGATAGCAAAATGGTCGAGATATACAGAGTGTGAAAGAACGAACAAGAACGTTTTAAGTAGAATTTGTAAGGAAGAGAGAAACAAAACAGCACATAACAAAAATAAATACAGAATGAAGAGCGAGAAAACGTTGTACCTTTAAATGATGTGAGTTGGAAAGACGAGATCCATTTGTTCTACTGACTATTTAATAAGTTAAAGGTTTCACGCCTAATGCTTTCTTTATTGCACAGAACACGAGAAAAGTAGGGTATGGATGAGTTTTTGTACTTACTAGTGCGGGCATATAGTTTCCTATGTAGGCTTCTGGTTTTCCCTGAAGAGATACATGGGGAGAGTTGTGAACGTAGAGGGTGTTGTGAGTCAGATAAAATGGATTTCGCCCATTTTTCACATGAGTCCATGTGCCTGTCCACCAGAATATTAACAAGCTGGCTAAGTGGCACACTGCTTACCCTGCTGACAACCTTTAACATCCTACGTAATAAGGTATAGTCTTTCTTCAATAGCCCAGGAAAGACTAAGGGGGAACAATAGAAGAATTATCGTCATTTAAAAGTCAAAACAGTTTGGGTGGGTCTACAAAAAAATCGCAGGTCCGAGTTACCATGACATTCTTTGAACAAACCGACCACCGTCCCCTAACATAAAATTTAAAAATTAAATTGCATATATAGAATCTGCCCACAATGAGTACAACCACACGCAACCTGTTGCAAATACTATGGCCAAAGCACTCACTGAAACTATATGAGGTGAGGAATGCCATTTTAGCACGAAAAAATGGGTGTTTGTCATCCGGCGTAGCCAAATAGTTGTACAAGTACTTCATCCTGGCGAAGTTACGCAAATTCCGAGACGCCCGCTTTTCTCTGAACTTTCAATATTCAACATCATTTTAAGACTGACAAGAAATAAGATTAATTGACAATTGCATACTCTTTGTAGGTGTAAAAGTTTTTTTATATTCTCTGTACTTCTTCATGTTCTTTTCAACCAAATAAAACTATTCTGGATCTTGAGATTATGATGAAAGTTATATCTGAATGGTGGTTTGTGATTGCTGTTCAGACTACCGCTCTACTATGATCGGATTTAATTCCTTTGCCGAAAATTTTTAGTCAGGTCAGGATAATCAGGTAAGCAATGATGACCAAAGCTGTGATATAAACGACAACAATTTCATTTACATGAATGAAGATGTCTATAAGAAACAACATAAAAACAAAGCGAATGACTGTGAATAGGCATGGCAGTTTGCTGAGAGAGTTGGACTGGATTCTGATGTTGCAGCTGAGTATGTTGCTAGAAATCCTTATTGAGTCAACAGTAAACTCTGTACTACACGATGATTACGTAACTCCCCCCCCGAAGCCAGTCACTGATTCCGCCCTTGTTACTTCCGCTAAAGATGGGTTGCGAGGCTTCTAACTGTCGGCAAAATGTGACAGGAAGTTTTGGCTTTCCCATCAAGGACGCCACATGGGTTGCTTCGACGAATCATGCTTATATGGTTATATATTTGTAATCTCGTAATAGCTTGGTCAAAACAAACAATCATTAGTCCTCTATATGTCAAGACTTTAAGACAAACAAATTAGACAAGGAGTTTAAATAGGGTATTTAGAAGACGAATTTCGCGAGATGATATCATTTCGTAGTTTCTTTGCAAATGCTTTACAACTAACATGGTTAACAGTCATATAATAAAGTTCATGACAATTACTCAGTTAAATAAAAAACAAAAGTACATACTAATGACCAATCATATTTTGATAGGTCATGTACTCTTTGGCAGATGAAGGTTGAAGTCTATTGCTTTTTGCACATGCAGCTTAGGCTGTATGTGATTAATCCAAAGTGCTTCCATTACCTTCAGTAACTTTGAATTAGATTTAAGTGAAATAATTGTGAAACAGCCATTAATATTGATTTTTTGACCTGACGTTATTAAGTGTTTCGCAATGGATGATGATGCTGGATTTCTATTCAGATTAATCGAATTGGGATTTTCTATATAATTTAGTAGCCATTTTGGAACACGTTCTTTTCGACGACATTGGAACATTCTGTTGGTTTTACATATATGGGTGCAGTTGAACTTGTAGATACAGAATTTCGTCCTTTAATCACAGATGTGTTTGTAGATCCAGGAATCATGAATTACTTGAGTGGTTATTGATTTCATTCAACCCTTGTGATGCATGAATACAGCGAGACAATAAAATGCCTGACAGCCACCTAGCCCCATCCGTGATGCAAACCACTTCGATAACTTAATTCACAACAGGACCTCATGAATGTCTTCGATGATAGCGACAAGTTGGAATCCATTTTCTTCTATACATCACAAGACTGTCCGGTCTAGTTATGAAGTGGGGCAGCCTCTCAGTTGTTAAGAAGAGAAGGTGGTGAACACTCGACTAATATTAGCAACAACAGCTTTGTTCCAATCGGTATTTGTAGTACATGTATGGAATATTCAGCGTGCATTACAATATATTGCATCTAAATACCTCATATAATTGACACGGTGGAGAATTCCTCCTAAAACGTAGAGGTTAACCAAAGCGGGCTTGTCGATTTGTGTAGTTCACAGTGGTAAACGGGCGGAGACTTTTATTCTAAGCCTACACCAAGACACAGGACACTGATCTTGATAAGAAATTTCCCTGTGTTTCCGAAATCTGTTCCATGAAGAGTTCAAGATAAACTGACAAGTGTTTTTCGGGGTTACTGTCAATGCAGTTGAATATTGAACGATCAATTCATGGTTGTTTGCTCAAAACCAACTTCCCCAATTTTCGCGAGTGATCAATCCGCCAGTCATCGTCTCATCGGTCGCTGTTCAGAAAGAAGAGTAAAACACCGTCAGAAACCTTGGTCACACGTCATTTATATGTTGGTGTAGCAATAAAGAATCCTCGAGTCAACAATTGATGTTTTGGTTTTTTCGTCCGTTATTACTAAGCGTTTCTGAGAAACTTCAAGCGACAGCGTGAGCCCGAGCGTAGCAAGAGCTTGGCATTAACTGTTTACGAGACGTGGCTGACAGTTACTGATCGCTGCATTCCAGTGAACTCTTGATTAGGGCCCCTACATATGCTCCAAGGTTTGTCTACACTATCTGGGTTCTTGTTAGAAAGCACAAGGCGTAAATAAAGCGTGGCAGGGTGATTCCCACGATGTTACTTCTAGATGAACTATCAATACTTCGCTCAAACAGTGAGTGCGAAATAATCGTCAACATGTGACTAAAAACATCAATATAGGAAACTAAGGCAACAGCGGCAAAGTCAGTGTAACGGAGGAAGATACAAAGGGGTGGTTTGGTAAAGCTAAATTTATCACAGCAGAAACAATGTGTAATAATCAACGCGAAAAACCAGAACACAGATCGGCGACTCGAGAATCCTTTATTCTTACGCCAATATGTAAACAACAATAAGGTTATTATGCACAAGGTCTAAGAATAAATGTCATAAAAATAAATCACGATAATACTTCTGACAGTTTTCTGTCTTCCACCGAACAGCGAACGATGAGACGATGACTGCTGGATTGATGATTCCCGCGAAAAATATAGAGTTGGGTTTGAGGAAACAACCATGAATTGATCGTTCAATCTTCAACTACATTAACACCAATTATATTTTACTTGCTCCTATTTACTACCACTACAACATAGTGTGCGACGCTTTGTTACCAAAGTCCATCCAGTGAACTTCTCAAAATATTTGTGTGTGCTTCTCGCGGTGATTTATCATGAACTCTTTTGGAAGATATATAAGATGAATCATTCCAAACATCTACATTTTTATTACCGCAAATTTTATTGCAAAGTTTATGATTCACTTCATTTTCAACCGGAAAATAGGGCCTTAACGACACATCTCTGCTTCATCCTCTTCCCTTACGTACTCTTTATCTCTCTCTGTGGGTCTTTTTAAGCTTTCACCTCTATCCCACAAAAAATCCTTAATGTGAACCTCCGAAAAATATTCCACTTGTTGTTTGCTACCTGGACTCTACATCGATTGCCTGCCATGAAGCATGAGCGGATCACAGGAGTTCGCAAAATTGAGTGAACCATAGCCGTTTCATCCCTAACGATCAATTCTTTTATATTGGCTTACTGCAACATGCAGGAGAATAACGCTTTTTCCAGGAGACAATAGATCAGCAGAGGCGACTTCCTATGTTCGTGTATTTAAATAAGCATTTCCTGCCATCCGTTACAAGTCAAACTTCGACTAGATGTCAGCGCAACACTTTCTTCTGGCTGGTCGGATCAGTCTTAAGAGCAACCTGGTCACTAGGTTATGTGGAACATATCATGGAGTCAGCAGCTAGTGGAACCCATGCTGAGACATAACAGTATATGTGGTCACACAGAAATTATGAGTGTTATTTTTATTGGAATCTGGCCGGAAGCGAGCTCGAAGTCGATCGACCAAGCTAATTCTGGTTTGCCATTGATTGGTTTCCATTTCAAAAATAATGGGGCCGAATTCTCCGCTTTTCGGACAGTCCGGAAACCAAATACTTCGCCTATCAGGAATTAGAGTACGCAACACTTTGCTGCAGGTAACCTGACTAAATCTCAGCTGTTAGTGCTGTAATCATCACGTCCGCACTTCACTGAGGTGTTTTGGATATTAACTAGGACAGTAAGTATAACAGTGCCTGTCAGCCACGTCTCGTAAACAGTTAATGCCAAGCTCTTGCTACGCTCGGGCTCACGCTGTCGCTTGAAGTTTCTCAGAAACGCTTAGTAATAACGGACGAAAAAACCAAAACATCAATTGTTGACTCGAGGATTCTTTATTGCTACACCAACATATAAATGACGTGTGACCAAGGTTTCTGACGGTGTTTTACTCTTCTTTCTGAACAGCGACCGATGAGACGATGACTGGCGGATTGATCACTCGCGAAAATTGGGGAAGTTGGTTTTGAGCAAACAACCATGAATTGATCGTTCAATATTCAACTGCATTGACAGTAACCCTGAAAAACACTTGTGGTAAGGTGTCAGAATATAGGATGACAGTCCATCCATTTGGTGCCACGTCCTCCCCGTTTTGTGATAATTTTGCTCTGCTTACACTACCTCCAGTATGAAACTTGGCGAAGCTATAGTACCTAGTCTTGAAACAGTTGTCGGTAAGCCATACCTGTGTGACATACCTCTTCCAACACTGCAAGATGGAAGAGTGAGAGTACTGTCAATGGAGTTTAAGATTGAACGATCAATTCTTGGTTGTTTGCTCAAAATCAACTTCCCCGATTTTCGCGGAGGCATCAATACGACAGTCATCGTCTCATCGGTCGCTGTTCAGAAAGAAGAGTAAAATATCGTCAGAAGTAACAATGATTTATTATTGTAATATTTGTTTTCAGACCTTAGTTGCTTAGTTCGTTTATTCCTTTTATATGTTGGTGTAACAATAAAGAAATAACAAGCAGCAGATCGGTGTTTTGGTTTTTGCGTCCGTTATTACTAAGCGTTTCTGAAACTCAAAGGAACAGCGTGGGCCCGAGCGTAGCGAGAGCTGGGCATTAACGGTTTATGAGACGGTGACTGACAGTTTCTGACGATAGAAACAGATCTGGCGGATTCAAACAGTTGGTGAAAGTTTGGATAGTCGCCGTTCATTTTCCTGGTGCCGGTCAAGTCCTCTTTGAACAAGCAATATCTGGAACTTTTTGGAATTGGGTCAAGTTCAACAATGCCTGGGTCAAAGAAGGGACAGAGTGTCTTGGATGCAAACAGGAAAGTAAGTCATGGTGACTTGTCTGTTAATTGTAACGATGTGTCTGATGTTAAGC